TTCCCTTCCCTTCCCTTCCCTTCCCTTCCCTTCCCTTCCCTTCCCTTTCCTTTCCTTTCCTTTCCTTTCCTTTCCTTTCCTTTCCTTTCCTCCTTCCTTTCCTCCTTCCTTTCCTCCTTCCTTTCCTTTCCTCCTTCCTTTCCTTTCCTCCTTCCTTTCCTTTCCTCCTTCCTTTCCTTTCCTCATTCCTTTCCTTTCCTCATTCCTTTCTTTCTTTCTTCCTTTCTTTCTTGCTTTCTTTCTTTTTTTCTTTCATGTTCTATTCTTTCCCTTTTTTTCACTCTCTCTCTCTTTTTCTTGCGTCATCTTGCGTCATAGCTGCTCTCGTTTCTTTCCGTTCACCGTGTCCCTGGATGCTGCTGGCGTCCTGTTGATGAAGGGCTGTAGCTGCATCAACCAAAAGAAAGAAATGCGTGCGTGTTTGCGCGGATCTGCGTGGATCCATGGGGTTGGAATCGAGAAGAACGGAGTCGAGCAGCCAGTCATCGAGCTACTGCGATGAGTAGAGATTGTCGCGTTGACGCCTAGGTGTTTCTAGATGCTTTCTCTTTTTGCCATGCTTGGTGCTACGGATGCACCGGGTGATGAACTTGCCATGGCCATTGGAAAAATACAACTTCGACACCTCTCATGGGGATCCTCTTCTTAATATCTAATTTGCGCACGCCTAAGTTATTGAACCCGCGATGATTGGTGTTGGATGGCAAGGTAAGATGGGTAGTTGAATTGGCCTCCCGGTAGAAGAGTTCCTAAATGGGTTCTGTTGGGGCAGCTGCCCGGTGATGAACGCACGTCGGAGCATGGAAGAAAAGGACACGTCAAGAAAACAACGCAGCCCAAAAGCATGGTTTCAAGCAAGTATCCGCAGCACCCGCACCCTAAACATGTTAAATTTTCAGTTCATGGACTGGCTTGAACCCTGGCCTTGGTAAACCGTTGAGCGGTAATCTGCGCGATGAAGCTTCAAGAACCTCCACGGCGAAGTCTTTTTTGAACCTCCTGTTAGCTCACCGCAGCACAGAGCGGCCATGAAGATCGCCAGGCTATCGGGGGTAGATTCCAGGGCGCAGGCCTCCGCTGCCGTTCGGAGTCAGACGCGCCTCCCGCCGTGAACTCCGGCAATGCAATTGGGCAAGGAAGGGGCAACCCTATGTCCATTGGAATCGTTCTCATTGCCCCTGTTTCACATCGTTGCCAAAAAAGCATGAATCGAAGGCCATTAGCTTACCGCAGGGTGAAAAAGAAACCACATGAAAACAGAACGGGTGCTCCTGGGAGATGTTTTTTGTGTAGAAAATGTACACAGTGTTTTAACAGTGGTTTTTGGAGGAAACGTCACCAAAACCGGGTTTTGGAGCAATTTTTTGCTTCAATGTTTTGTTGTCAACGCAAGACATGAACCATCCTCTGTGTTTTACATTGGGCTTTGGCTGAAAACTGACAAAAACAAGTTTTGAGTTATTGTTTGGCAGCACCTGTTCAGACCAGGCCCACAAAGGTTTAGAGGTAATACACCAGAACCAAAAAAACAAAACAAGAAAAACAATAATAGAAAAAACACAAAAACAACATACAAAAACACATTCAAAAAACAAAGGCACAAATGGTTGAGACAAAAAGAGGTATAGGATTTGGAGTTGTTTTTCTTTTTAAATTGCTTTTTGGTTTTGCATTCATTTCGTCTCAAGCAATGGTTTTTTTTATTATGTGTTTTGTTGTGTATTTTTTGTATTCCCTCTAAACCTTTGCCGGCCTGGTCTGAACACTTGAAGCAAAACAATAGCTCAAAAATCTAGGGTTTTGTGTGAGCAGTCCCAAAAGGTTTTGCAATTGCTGCAGTAGGGTTTATGTATGTCTTACTTAACTTTTTCTATATGCGCACATGCTTTTAAATTTGAGCATCAAAAGGAAGCCGCTTCAACCTTCACACGGTTTTTGTTGTTTTTTTTTAACATTGCCTTCTTAAGAGCATTAAGATTCAAAGAACGGAACGCTTTACGAAAAAGCTATTGAACTAGACTCTAGACCAAGTTGCAACAGCATCAATTAACTTCTACCCAGCCAACAACTTACTTTTCCTGGTGTCCTGTATCAGCAACTGTTTCTATTGCTCCAGTAGGTTGTATCTGTTTTGCTTAAAGTGTTCTACACAGATTCTACACGTTCAAGCGTGCCTCAACATTGAGTGCCAAAAAGGAACGCTGCTTCAATCTTCACAAGGTTTTTTCTTGTCAAATTGTTTTGTTTGGCTTAGCTCCTTCTAAGGAGGGAAGGAACTAGACTAGGCACAGGAAGTTTGATTGATTTCTATGTCATTGCCAAAAACGATGTCTTTATATACACCAAAAAAAATATATTTGCCTTGGTTGCCTTGTCATGGTTCTTGTTTCTCTTGGTTTGGACCAGATGCCAGCCAAAACCAAATTCATACAGCAATGAAATCGGTGTTATTTGGATTGCTTTTTGTCAATGAAAAAAGGACATCAAGCAAGTTAAAACATAGGTTGAAGAATAACATGTACATTTTATTGGAACAATAGAAAGGTGCTTTGGGATAAAGGTCAGGTTGCGAGGGGAGAGTGTTCAAAACCAAACAGCCCTGACCGATATTGAAAAACAACTTAATACAAATTACCAGGCAATTTTTGATATGGAACAAAGACGAGTCAAACTAATAATGTTTATCTTTGGTTTTACACATTGACATCGGCACAGGAAAATAGGAGAATATGCGTATCGTTTAGGTCCTAGAACAGTTTTTTTGGTATTCACAGTGTTTTAGATAAGTTTGGAGCGTATGTGACGAGGTGGAAGTAAAACCCAAACTTGCAAACAGGGCAGAAAAAACATGCCCTCTATATATCTATATATTACGTATAGTATCGTGTTTTTTAAAGACGTTCGCAAAATTTAACACATGTTTTGCAATGTTTGTTATGGAACATCCATCAGTCTTACTACTCGGCCAGTGGCTTGGAGGCTTTTAGGGATCTTAGTGGGTCCTGATCCTGGTGACTCGTGGAGTGCGCAGGAGGGGAAGCCAGTGGAAGTGAGGAACATGTCGCGAAAGGTGAAGAAGATCATGGCCATCGAAAACTTCCAGAAAGTCCTCCAACGGGACGTGCCAAGTCTGTACAGTGGCGAGTTGTCCGGGTGGCGGCCCTTGGGGATTTCTTCAACATCACCATGGGGTGATCATAGATCGAATGTTGGCACCCACTGCATTTGTTTTCGCGGACAGATTCCTGGACTAGACTGGTTTTTTCAACAGCAAACATCCCCGTTAGATATTAAGTTTTTCTCTTTCATCCAGCAAGGGCTGCACAGGGTTTTCCAAAGCTCGTGCCAGCGAATCTGTGAATCCCGCTAATCCCTTTTCTGGCTTAGATGCTTGGACGTTCCAGCAAAGATACGAGACCATGTCAGTGCGATTTGATTGAATTTCCACCAGGTTTTCGTGTGTAGAGCTGGAGAGTTTTGGAAATCCCATCAAAAATCAATCAAATCCCATCGAGTCGAGAGTGTAGAGTATTATTTATGACCATAGCGGTGCCGGCTCGGCCTCCCACTGTGTTGCGCAACACTTCGTAAAAGTGTGCTGGGGCATTGCTATCTGGGTGAGGATCCTCATCTCAAGAACGCAGTCCTTGGTTGTCTATACAAGTAGTTTGGGCACAAAAAAGGAGTTTTCTTCAATTGAATTTGGAAGGCAACCCTGCAAAGGCCTTCCAAACATAGAAGGTGCAGCACAACCAACGCATTGCTCATCTTTTTTTGTGGCAGGTGAACAAGAGCGTGAAGCAGAAACTCAAGAAGCGGCTGGGTTTGCCGCCCGCGCGGAACATTGGCTCGAAGGAGACCAAGGCGGCTATGAAGCGCCTGGACCGACGGATGAGAGCCATTAAGCACATGAGGTGCGACCGGAGGGCCTCGGGCGTTGCCCGTGGCGATGACTCGTACGTGCGGGACACTCACTCGTACAGTTTTTTTTTTTTGGAAGGTTTGTTTTCCAGACAGGTGAGTCCGAGTCCGCGATAGTGATATTACTTCTTAGGGAGTTTTGGCTTCCTTGGTGGCTTTACGCACCCCAAGCCTTCAATAAGTGCTGTTTATGGGTTGAACTGGGCCCTCAGTGGCTTTGTGATCTTTTATTCTTGTGGGTGTTCTGCAAAACGAGCAGTTCTCCATTCTCCTGTAGGAACTTGACCCCTCATTTGAGGAACGCAGAGTTTTCTGGCGAAAAGCCTGCAGAAGAGCCATGTACTTTGATTTTCACACGTATCATGTGTTGGAAGCAACTGGAGAGACCCGGGAGGCCCTCCTTCCGATCACGGTCTGGTGCCCGATCACGGTCCGTTTCTTGAAAGCCGCGTGTTTTCGTCGCCAGGTTCCTGTGGAAGCGCGGGATTCTGAAGAAGGGCCATGGGATCCCGAAGATGCCGCTCGGAAGACACCGTCGAAGACGTACCTGGGCGACCCCCTTTGCAAGCACATCTCCCCCAGACATCCAGGGATGAAGGCCTTGGACTCCACCGTGTTGGAGTCCAGTTATGGCAGTTGGGTACGCCAGTTGCTTGGAATATCGAGTCTGTGAGTCCGAGAGAGTGGAGGTCTTGGGGAGTCCGACCGTGAGTCGAACGCCTGGAGCCCTACTCTAGTTTTAGACTTCCAGACGGGACAGGTCTGGAGGTTCTGGATGTCCTTCTTTGATCCACTGACACTCCTTCAAACTAGAAACCGTTGTGTTGAACTTCAAGAGTTGAATAGGTAGCTGCAGATAGATGACACACCGATAGATAGTCCACATGGATCGATAGATCCTTCACCCCGCGCGTGGCGGAGTTCTCCCAGCGTGGCGTCATCGATGAACACGAGGCCAGATGCTCAGGTGGAAGTGTCGGAGACCCAAACGGTGGCTCGGCGACATCGGGGGGAGCTGGGCAGTTGAGTGATTTGAACAAAGAGGTAGCTGGGAGTCTTTGTCTACTGATTACTTCTTGAGTATATACTTGGTTCCGACTCGTTCTTTCATCTATGTCGCCCTCCATAATTCCATCGCGCATGTTGGGGAAATCCTTGTCCCTGAGTTACGTTCAGCTGCAGGGTTTGAGGGGATGTGCCATCAGTCAATTCTGAGGGATGATTCCCAGCAACTCGAATAACTAGAGGCTCCTGATACGACCCACCAAAGAAGTTTACGTATTGCAATGAGTATTGTGTATCATCAAAAGGCCATCTCACCCAGCTTCAGCATGATGTTTTTTGACGCCCAAAAGGCCCGTGTTCATCCCACCTAGCCCAGGAGACCCACCATTCCATCCACCTTGATCTCTGCCGGAAGAAGGAACGAATCTACAATTGTAGACAGCATGAACCCCAGTTGTCTCCCCACCTCTACCCTCAAAGCAAGCGCCCAAGAAGTCTCAACCTCCAAAAACATCTTCCATCTAGAAAGCCCGCTTCCAGCCCGTCCACCAGGTCTCCACCATGGTCCGTGCCCGTGACGGGCTTCTGCAAGTGCTTCCCCGGCGCCGGAAGCTCGACCGCCAAGCAGACACGGCCGGGGGCGCACCCATCGACCGCACGCTGCGCGTGGGCGGCCCGGCGCTGGAGCATGCGCTGCGGAAGCGCGAGGGGCACGGCCGGAAGCGGCGCCCGCAGATGTGAGGGAAAAAGGGACGCGGAAAGCACGGTAGAATCGGTGGAGGACGGTGGGCGAACAAGAAGTTGACGATCTGTGCGATCTGTGAGAACATTTGGATGTATGACGAAGTGGCAATTTGGGATCATGATGGAGTTTTGCGTTGATCATAGGATGGAGAGTAGGGAGAGATTCTGGATGTCAGCCATTTTGATAAGACAAAGGCTTTGAGATTTGGGTGCTAGTGCTTGGGTGAGCTAAGAATGACCTGCCGGATGCCTCTTTGGGTGTTCACTATCTCCCAGCTTGGCTTCTAGGGAAGACAAAAGTCCTTGGCTAGCCAAATAGAGGCACCCTGCTCAAAGAAACATGGACCTATGAACTCGGCCAGTTCTCCATGCTTGTTTGCCAGATGACATCTTTCTTGCTTTCACAAGTGGTTCTCCATTGCGAAGGCACTTGCCCGGCTTGCCCCAAGCTCCGAAGTATCGGAGCTCCTCACAAGTCTCAACCAGTTCGCCTGCGGCGAATCGGCCAGGTTCAATCGGGAGCCTTGCGATCGGCTGATTAGCTTGCTGAAGGAGACTACACTCATGGAAGTTTGGGGGACCGTCAGATCGGCGAAGCAACCTGTAAGATCTTTCCCTCTACAGGTTGAGATCCCGCGTGAAGCAGACGCGCCAGTCGTGCCGCGTCCTCTCTTCTTTTTCCTCTCACCATCCGCCCTTCAGTTCGGACGGATGGTGCAGACCCTCGCACGACTCGCCGGATCCGGTCCCGAGTGGTCCAGGACTTCTTCGACCCGGAAGATCCGGGCCCCGACCCGGCGCGGCTCGGAGGAGATGGGGGAAGGGCCAGAAACAGCACGAGGAAGGGATTCTGCTCGCATCCCAAGGCCAAGAACCAAATTCAAGTCCGGGATGGGGCAGGAAGTAAGTTCTTTCTTAGTTTGACAGGGCAGGCTATGCGGCTATACTTCAGGCCAAGCATTTGACAAAGCACCCTGACGGCTGGAGTTCATGGACTGGCGTTGAACACCCACTTTTCGTGTTCTTTGTTGCGGCAGCTTTAACATGTTCTCGTTGTTTGGGTGCCAGGGCCTTAAGGTGCCCATAAGTTAAAATCCAACTTGCACAAAATTCACTTGGGCACGTTTGTTGTGCCAAAAGAGGGAGACTCCCCCCCAGAAACCGCTGTCGACGGGCGACCACACCACCAACATCGACCAAGCATTAGGCCGTTTGGTGCTCTAGTCCCGTCAAAGAAACCCACTTAAGCTGTGGTGCATCGTACTGCCCAGAGCACTGAGGTATTCGCTTGCGATCGAGGAGGGCGTGAATGGCGCACGTGCGGAGTCTGAGCTCGGTTGCTCCGGGTGATAGTACATGATGTCACCATTTGGGCTCCAAATCCAGTTACACCAACTTGCCACATAACCGGATGAACATCTTTCGTGCGACCGAATGTAAGGGGGTGTTGAAGGCAGCATCTTCATTCGGATGGGATCTGGGTCTCTAAGTGACGTCCACAGGGCGTGAGAAGTTCCTTTGGGTTTATCGACGAGACGATGACGCACACCGCTGCGGTGGACAATGGTGCGGGTGGGTCTCGTGGAGCGTTGTTCACAGCTCAAAGAACACGGCGACTTCTGTCATGGAGCCGTTGTCAGTCGTTTGACACAAAAGAAGGTCCTACATCAATTCATCATCAGGGCGGTAATACAACGTGATATGACTTGATATGAACCAAGAGCCACGACCCCAACCACCTTGAAGCGTTTTGCGTGAGTTCATGTGAGGGCGGCTCCGCCTGTGGCTTGGCCTTTTAGTGCTCCCACTGACTTTTCTCCATCCTGGACTTGGAAGAAGCCGAAGCGACTCCTATTGCCACGCGGCCACGCACCTGCCACAAGCGAAAGCGCTTCTCGCCTTGGCACTCCCGACATTTGACGCAAGAGCAAATCGGCAAGCCCAACTTTTGAAGAACACTAGTTGCCGAGGTAACCTGGTTCAAAGGCAAAATGCTTCACGGGAACCTGGCCCAGGGGCGCCAAAATCAAAAGTGATTTGCTGAAAAGTAGGGGGCCCGGGTCTGCTTTCTCCTAACAAATTCATAGCCTTCCAGTGTGAGGGGATGACGTGCGCAGCACACGCTTTCTGCTCTCTCAGGTCTTTCGCATCCGCACAGCCGGCAGTACACCTTCGTCCTGCAGTCAATGACTTTGTGGAGAGAGGCTGGGCCAGCTGGGCATAGCTGGGCCAGCAGGGCCAGTGGCCATCCCACACAGCGATTTCTTCTAAAGCAACTCCTCAAGGTGAAACTGTCTTTCGTCACTTCTTTTTTTGTGATGGTGGAACTCCATGTGACGGTCGCCCATCGCCCCGTGAGGTCTTGGACAACATGTTCCAGTTGTGGCACATGGCGGAAGAGGCCGTAGCATGTGGAATGCCGGCGATGGGTGGTCACACCACGTACCTCTCTTTCACAACATGGCAGGCATATCAAGAATGCGCAAGCGTTGTGAGCGCTCATAGGATCTCCTGTCCTCAAACTGCCTGTTTGCCCAACCAGGAGGGATCCCACCTAAAGTCAACCAAGTACCACAAACGATTCTCTGGGATGACTGGGTGTTCCGATCGGTGCGAGGACTTGTTAGACGATGAGCAGCAATATCAGCTCGCTGACACTGGCCAGGGATACCAACGCGTGCCCTGGCGGACCGTGGCTCCGCGCGGGTTTTCGCGGTTTCTTCGAACATGGCATGAAGGTCTGAAGGAAGATGTCTGCACCAGTGGGCTAAAGGGTGGCGCAACATTTGTCCCAGCAACACTTAGAGACCGAAGAGGGGTGTCGATCCCTGCTTATGGCTTGTGTGAATTTTTGGCAGCCGACCGTTTCCTGAGTTGATCAGTTTGATTGCAGCGAATTCGGTGTTTCTATACAGAGTTACCCTCGGCATCATTCCCACTTTGATGGGTGTGGATTCCTTGGGCACCAAAGGGACGATTTGGGTTCATTCCACCTTTGTGCTCTGAATAGCTACTGCTGACGGACCAACTTCTACACGCTGTGCATCCGGCCAATGGGATTGGAGGTTGCATCCTTTCCAAGTGGTTGCTCTTTTCACCATCCATCACCCTATCGTTTGATCAAGCTAAGGTGCAAAAGTCCACTCGAAGTGTGGTGGCCATGCGCGGGACCACGGTCGCCGCTGCGGCGCAGCGCCCAAACTCCGCTCTTTTTGCTCGGGAGGAATTTCAAGCACCGGGTGTCATGACCAATGGGTGTGTCTGCAACAGCAAGTTCCCACCCTACTATGTAAATATATATATATATATTCAGATACATTCAGTAGCATTCCAAAATGAAGGAAGAACTCCTACACCTCTTGGACTCCCCCGGTACCCTCCGGTGCCACGATCAACTCCTCATCTTCATCGCTTCCCTCCGGGTGCTTCATCGGTCGGATCCGGTGGGGTCGGCCGCTGAGGCAGAAGATCTTGGCAGATGTGCAGCGGAAAGTGGGAGGTACGAAAGGGGCAACAGATCCAGCACGGTTTTTTTGGGTGCTGGAACGCGCCTCTTTAAAAAGAAATGGGAAAGCATCCCAGGGTGGCGTTGAAATATGTGGCTTTATGGGCGTTGGTTTTTGGTGAACATGAGTAGGTTAGCCAAGCGCTGCTTGTTAGCCTGGGTCGTACATTTTGGAGGATCCCGTTTGTGATTACCTCACAGACGTGCCGGCTGAGCTTCAGGAAGTTTGGCTTCAGTATCAGGGAGTGTACCTGGACCCTCCGACCCTCGGGGTGTCCTGGCTGGACTACCCCACACGATCCCCGCACGTTCGGCTTCCAGACAGGGCACCCCGACAGGAGGTCGGGCCTCCTGTTTCGGTCTTTGTTTCGCTTCGTTCGTTTCGGTCTCGTTCGCTTTTTCGATGCGGTGTTTTCGTTCGCTTTTTCCATGCTCCGCTTGCGGAACAAACCCCCAATTTTCCGATTTGGGAGTTGCTCTCCATCTGACTGTTTGTCTTCAAGTTGAAGTTCAATTCGTATTGCCATTTCGACCCAGGACAGGGCAAAAACTACAGGCACTCTACGAATCTCAATACGATCCAGAAGAAATCTGTGATCGCCGACATTTGTTGGCCAGTCTTCGTGGACTGAGACAGAGCCCCGGACAGCGAGACCAGGTTGGTTGTTACATAGGAAACCTGGAACACCAGGTGTTTTTTTACATCCATCCAGGAAGACCCCAGATATCCTCATGATCATTTCAGGTTGATTTCACACCACGTTCCAAGCCAAAAGCTACCAGTCTGATGAATTGGTCCCTTTATCAGTGTCAAAGACGATGCATCCGATGCGACGATTTTCTTCAAGTCGCTCAAAGTGGCCTGTCTCTGCAGACTGACCAGGTTGGGTCGGTTCCTCGATTGTCCATTTGGGGGACCACAACGTGCCCAATGTCCCTTGGCATTCAGATGGGCTTTCTCGTGCTCGTGCTCGTGCTGTGTGGGGCGGAGGGGGGGGATGGGGATTTGTTGGCAAACATCAATCGCTCGATCTTGCTTGTGGCACTGTCTTCATGTCTTCCAAGTTCAGTGAAAGCACGCGGGCCAACTCGTTCCGACTATCCCTGATCCTTGGTGCTGGGGACTAGGCAGGGTTCCTGGATTAACCACTAAACCATCCTGACAATCCAAGAGATCCATCCAAACGCACTGGTGCTGTTACGACCATGATGAGCAGATCGGAGAGTAGCCCCAAGACAGAAGCTCCCCCCAACAAGTTCTCTTTAATGGCGTGGGGCCATGGAAAATGCCTGTGATGAAGAAGAGCACGCAGCGCTCGCCGCTGCTGTGAGCTCAAACCCGGTGCCCCCGAGCTGAGGCGTTGATGTTCATCGACAAGTACATCCAGGTGCTGTGAAAAAAGAGATGGGGACGGCGGGATCCAGGGCTCCTACTGAGTTGAGTTTCTTTATGTCTTTTTCAATTGTTTTTTTGGTGGCCCAAAGCCAGATGCTGAAGGATTTGGAGTTGGAAGTTGGGAACTTCTTTTTAAACGTATCCTTTTACTTTTCTGACTGACTCAAGACTGGAGTTGACAACCTCACGGGCACCTCTTCCACCCCCGTCAGAGACCACCCCCTGCGGGAATGACGGCATGCCGCCCCTTTTCCGCTTCTTCAAGTGCCCAATGCATTCAAAGGATTTGTTCACGTTCCATATGATTCCAACAATGTGTCGTAGTGCTACCCAGCCAGATGGTGCCAGGTGCCCCGTTTCTTGGGACCTTTGGTTTGGCACTCAGGACCAGGATGAGGAGAAGAGCAGGGGGTCCTTGTCACAGGAGGGTAGCTGCTTTAATCAATTTTAATCGAATCATTCTTCTCTAAGACCATTGCCCGACCACCTGCTCGTTGGCTGAGGTGCTGACGTTGGACAAAATCCCGGAATTGAGCAGAAGCACCTCTGGCATGCAGGCGCGCTGAGAGGGATGCAGCAGAGGCAACTCTTTGGCATGACTCCCACTCTCAATCCAGGAACTGATAGGTTTTGAATCGATTTTGCCACAGATCAGTACCGCCATTTGGTCTTTGTCTTTCCCAAATCCATGCGAAACATCCGCCTTGAGTGGCTCAAGCTCATGCGTGGAGAGGTTAGTCCTAAAGGCTCGCGACGTCTCTTCTGTGACAACTACTTTGTATGCGAGCACATTGGGAGTACCTTACTTGAAGATAAAGAATTGATGATTGGCCTCAGTTTCAGATCAGCTGACATACAGATCAAACATGATCAGTCACATGATCAACCCGCTTGGACCCTTGGACCATTTGTGGATGGTTCTTCCCACCACCATGGCGGACCTCACGTCCATAGCTTGCGGGTCGTCCGTTGCACCGGAGGAGTTTCAGGGGCAGAAAAGCTCTCGCCCAAACCGTTGGTGTTCATATCTTTGCATATCTTGTCCGATTACTTGATATATACTGTATATATATATATATGGCCACACACATATATATATATATAATATAAAGTGATTTGACTGTGTTATGGATGTTGTATGTGTTCCAACCACAGAACTGTGTCCAGGTCTACATCGAGTCCTTCGGAGGTGTGAAGAGGTTGCAGAAGTCGGACACTTGGGACCGTTTGGGACCGTTTGGGACCGTTCCGGTCTCCCCCAAACGAAGATAGCAAGCACCACGTAGATCTTGCTCCAGATCGAAGTCAAGGTAGGAATCAGGATGCAAGTCGCGAAGTGTGGGTGGTAGAGGAACGGAGTCTGCCAAAACTGTTTGAGTCGTGATGTTGGTTTCAAACAGAGGGCAAAAGAAGGTGTTCACAAAGGGACAAAAGACCTTTAGTTAAGTAAGCCATCGCAAGATCGCAAGCAACAGTTGTGCAAGACATTCTGATTGATGGACCATTGATGTGTGGCTCGATTCCGAGATGCCGGACTTCTCCTATCGCAGAAGTCCTTTCGTTCACCATGTCTCAGCTCGTTCTTGGCTGTGTATGGTCAGTAGTTCTTCAATCAAATGGGTGCTTTTCCCCCTTTCCCCGTGACAACCATCCAGGAGTGGACAGACTGCTCGGCCAGACTGCTCGGAAGGGAGGGATGGCCGACCCGGTCCGATGGTGGTGGATGACATGGGAAGATGAGGAACCGAAACCATACTAAACCCAAATTCGACTCAGGTTTAGTATGGTTTAGTATGGGTCCAATTCAGGTTTAGTATGGGTCCAGTAACCATACTGGTCCAATTCAGGCTGATCTTGGCCGACTTCTTCAAGCATGCCTTCGATGGCAGCGGCGCCGACAACTTCTTCGATGCAGGCGGGGCCTGGCGGAAGAGGGCCGGACGCGGTGGGCACGCGTGGTGTGGATCGGTCCAGTCGAGGACGACGGGATGCAGGCTGCTGGTGGGGCAGAAGCGGAGGTCAAACAGATCAGCTGGACGACCGAAGTAAATCTAAATGTTCCAGAGGCTGTTGTCAGGGATGGCTGCTTTCGTTCCAAGGGTGAACCAAGTCTGATCAGTGGCACAGTTCGCCAGCACAACTTAATTACAGTAAAGACGTTATTACGTTAAAACGATATGAAGTAAATGATGGTGAATCATCTGATGTTTGCGTTGTACGAGAATCTTTCAGGCTGGTTGAAGCTAATCCAAGTCTCCTACTGGCCTACCCTTCTCCTCGCACCAGGCTCCTGCATTGATGGCCGGCTGACCTCTGCCTGGTCTGCAGCCCTAGACCGTTGTTCCAAAACTTCGGATTGGAACAGCCCAGACCTTTGCACATCGGCAACAGCCCAGATCAATCACACACCTGGATGTGACCGATGGGACGAAAATCATCTGTTTTCCGCTGCTTGAAGGGATCAAGGGAATGACTCGGAATGACTGGTATTTCTGGATGATACAGTCCAACCGGTCGGACGTCAATGCTTCTGGGTGTCGTAAACCAAAAGGGCAGAATAGGACTGCCAATGAACCTCGAATGAGTGCCTTCCTTTCACAGTGTGAGGAAGACACTCTTGCCTGTGCTGAACCCTCAGTCAGCTTCCTATGCCACTGATTTCAGCTTCCCTAAGTGGTCCAAATCCATTCACCCCAGTGAACTAATTCACCCGGTTCAACATGGCTCCCCCGACCTCTTGCGCGGTTGCTGTGCAGAAATCCGATTCGGATCGATGCTGGGTCGATGCTCGGTGGAAATCTGAGTCCCATCCTGGGCCCATTTCGAGTGGTTTGGGATCCGCAAGGCCAAATCACTCGAAATGTCTCCACACCTTCTGAAGCCACGTGGTTTTTACATCCCTATCTTAGACCGCCCGACCCACCCACCCATATCCCGCCACCTTTGTTTGGTGGGCGGGACTTTTGAAGGGAATCGCCCTGGGCTGGTGTTCTTTTGATCAAATTTTTGGAGACATCGCCTGGGCTGGTGCAGGGCTGGTGCAGTGGAGATGACTCCACGAGCAGCCTGATCTCACCGAGGAATTGGTGTTCCTCCATCGAGTCCAAGCCGTGCGCCGAGCTGGGGAGGACGAGTGCCGTGAGCAGGAAAGTGGTCAACCCTTCATGATGGTCCATGATGAAGCATGTGTGTTATTTGGATTTATAGTGGGTTGAGAGTAGCACTATCCCCAAAGGTGGTTGATATGGACCCCCATCCAAAAGTCATCTTCGGGTGCCATCTACTCTGGAACCACGGCAACATAGGCTCTTTCTAGTTCGAGAGAGGCCTGTGTCCTCTGTCTTTGCCTTTGAATGCAGTAGGTTTCTTCCAGGATTGGTGGCTGAATCTTTTTCAGTATGTTGACCGGAAAACCATGTCGGCCAGACGGCCATGGGCGCAGGGCGCAGTCATGCGGCCAACCGCATGATGCTCTCAGCGTCGATGAAACCAGGTACTTTCCGGTCTTCCTCCTCACCGGCTTTTCCGGGTCGAAGCCTCAGGAGTGAGGTCGACGAAACGTGACCACGAGGGCAGTCTGAAGCCGTGTGACTTAGGGTTATGTTGGCCAGTTAGCCAACTTCTATGGGAGTATGGGAAACAAAAAAAAGTGCAAAACAAGTGCAGAAAAAGTGCATGCATGAAAAGCAAACACAAAATAGCCACGTTCAAGAAAAGCAAAACAAAAGCAAAAAAAAGAGCAAAACAACAGCAAACAAAAAAGCAACAAAAAAGCAAACAAAAAGGCAATCCAAGAATTACAAGAAGAAAACAACTAGGAAGATGAAATACAGGTAAGAACAGAACAGGTCTATTCAATAAGAAAGTAAACCAACAGGAACCTTGTGAACAGCCTCACCTTATGCTAATTTTGGTAACCAGTTTTTATTAGATGTTTTGGTTTTGCATGGAGTTTGCGGATTGCAAACAATGTGTCCACAATACATTTCATTAGCCAAAATGGCCTGCCATTTTGGCTCAAGGATCAGCCCCTGATCCATCAAAGATCGAACTTTTGCGAACTTTTGCGACTTTCGCTTTTTCGCTCTTTTCTGACTTTCGCCGCCATGGTTGAACTTTTCGACTTCGAACTTTTGGACTCTGCGGAGGATTTTGTGATCCTGGGACAGGATCCTATGGAGCAGGAGGTGACAGCCGCGGAGACTGCCCAGATTGCGGCTGATCAGGATGAGATGGCCATTTTGGCCGATTACATGATCCCCGCGGACAAGACCCCTGCGGACTTGGAGCGGGACCTGGAGGCGATGGTGAGTGGCATCACCTCTCTTTCCTTGCAGGCCCCCTCGGAGGCCCCTGCTGGACTGGCAAGTCCTACTTCGGCTTCTCCCCCTACGGCATCCTCCGTGGTGGCTGAGGACGCATCGACGGTGCCAAGCAGCCGCAAACGCCCCTTGGATCAGGGGGACGACGCGGGAGTCCCGGCAGGTGCCTCTGGCCCTGATACTGGGATTCCGTCAGCGGGCCCCTCTGAAACTGGTGCCTTGGTTGGGGGTGACCATTCGAGAGCCTCGGCAGGTGCTTCATGCCCTGATACCGAGCCTCGCCCGGATGCGTCATCCTCCCCCGTGCCGGCCTCAGGGGCATTGTCGCTGCTGGGCAAGCAGCTGCCGCCTGTGCCTTCCTCGACTTTGCGGACGAGCCTGGACACTGAGGTTCCGATGGAGCAGCGCTTGCAGGATCCTGTGACCTACTCCTTTGCCGAGGACGGGAACATCCTTTTGACCAATGTCATGGCTGGCCTTCCCTGCCTCCCGAAGAAGTTGGCGCAGCCGCTGCGGAGCATCCAGGTGGGTGAGATCGTTGAGCTTTGCCTCAAGTTTGACGTGAGCAAGCTCACCCCGCCGGCCTTTGCCCGCATTGTTGAGGTCTATGCCATTGCCAAGGCCAAGCACCTGGCACAGGAGATTTGGGAGGCCAAGCACCTGCCCAAAGGGGCGCGCTCCATGGAGAAGCTGACGACCCTCCCGGAGGTGGAGGACAAGCTGCCCTACATGTGCGCCAGCTGCTTCACGAGCTGGATTCTGCCGGCCGCCAAGAAGTGCCTCCACTGTGCTTCTACGGAGGGGAAGGTTCCAACGGCACTGCCCTCGGCCTCGGTGACGGTGGATGGCGTCACTTGGACTATGACCTTTGATGCGGACAAGCAGCTCCGTTGGCAGTCCGACGCCCCCGATTTGGGGGACACTCAGAAGCCCCTTTGCTCGGTGGAGGTTAGCAGCCTTGGACAAAAGCCGCCCACAGCGGGGGCCACCCCCAGAGAGGTCACCTTCAGTGAATTGGTGAGCGACTCGAGCCGCATGACCCTCCGCCAGGAGGTCTTGAAGAGAGGGGATGATGAGGTCTTCCACAAGGAGGTCGCCAAGAAGCCCCAGGGCGTGATGGACCACGACCCGGGCCAGGAGACGGTCACCTTCCACCCCACCAACGTGAAGGCGATGCGACTGGTCTCGGAGCTTCGGCAGGCGGAACGCCGTGAGAAAAAGGAGGCACGGGTGGAAGTTTAGATGGATGTGGTCTATGAGCTTCAGGCGGGGTCCCACATGGTGCCGGAGGCGGAGGCGCATGGAGCGGCGGTTCTCCGACACCTGGACGTTGAGAAGTTCCGGTCCTTCCTCAAGCGCAAGTGGCAGGACGAGAAGGGGCAGCCCCACGACGCCCTAGACCACGTTGGAGAGGGCCAAGGAGGAGAACCAGGCCTACCACCGGAAGCAGAAGCGCAAATTGGAGCTCCTCCTCCCCACCTATGACGCCATCAGTGTGTGGCCGGAGAAGGTCCGGAAGGCCTTGGAGAGCGGCCTCTTCGAGCCGGAGCGGGGGCCGATGGCGGTGGACGGCGACCAGCTCCAAGACGTGAAGGAGGCCTACCTGCGCACCAGGGAGCTCATCAAGCAGGGCACCAACCCCTACCAGCCGCGGCTCTTGGAGGAGATCCCGGACTGCCCCCTCAACACGCATGCCTTTTTGGATTGATGTTTGGGGACACTTTGGTTTTGCATGGAGTTTGCGGATTGCAAACAATGTGTCCACAATACATTTCATTAGCCAAAATGGCCTGCCATTTTGGCTCAAGGATCAGCCCCTGATCCATCAAAGATCGAACTTTTGCGAACCCACCCTCCACTCCCTGTGAACCTGGTGATGGCCGCTCCGGCCGGGCCGCCGATGCCGGTACGCCCTCCCCATCCCGTACCTGAACCTCTTCAGGAACGAGTGGATGCGCTGAGTGCGGGGGTCAAGGCCCTCTTCACACAGAAGGGGATTCCCTACTGGGTCATGGCCCAGATGGCCCAGGCGGGCTATACCACCATGGAGGACCTGGCCGATCGCTGGGATACCCCCGCCCTGGCCAGACAGCACGCGGCCAGAGACCTGAACTTCGCAGGCAATGACCACGGGTGGACAAACGAACTCCGGGAACTCATTTCCATGCGCATGTTTCAGTGTGTGCGCTTGGCTAAGGAAACTATTGGGGAGACGATCACGGGCCTGGGCCGGGGCCCGGACCAACCTCTACTACCCATGGGCAAGACCACAGGCCTTGATGCGGTATGTGACCGAAAGCAAATTCTCGTGGACTGGGACCGCATCGCCAACCAGCCACGACCCAAGCTGACCTACCAGGGGAGTGACAACTTCCTGAAGAAGCAATTCAAGCTGTGTGCCCATGGGGAGATTGGATTCTTCCTTACAAAGCACATCATCTCAGCCCTTCCAGACACTGATGAAAAACCCATTAAGATCAAACGAAAGGCCACTTTTTGACGGATGGGAACGGGAGGTTGAAGAAGAAGAAAGAGCCTTCCCGAGCACTAAGGAACAGATCAAGAAGATGCACATGGTCTTCCGGAACAACCTGTACATGTGCCTGATCAGCTTCCCTCAGCATCTCCAGTTCAATGTGACCAAGGTGGACCTGGACGACTGGGAAGCCCCCTCCCTCAGAATCCACCCTGGTGTATGCCGAACGGAATGCATGGCGTGAGATCCACAACAAGATCTACGAGGGAGCGACACTAAAGGATGCCATGCAAGACCTCCGCCAAGACAGCTTGTTCTGGACGAGGGAGGTCTATGAACGGCGCCAAACCCGAAGCAGCCCCCAATCACCCACCAAGGGGAAATCCAAGGGGCAGAGGAGCATCGCCTGGACGCCCCGGCAGCCCCAATGGTCCAAGGGCCAGGTCAAATCCGGGTCCTCGCCTCCCAAAGGCAAGGGAAAGTCCAAGACGAAAGAGAAGGGCAAGGCGAAGTCATCATGGCCTTCCTCTTGGGCCACTGCAGCGCCCAATGGGACACCCTTTTGCCGGGACTTCCACGTCAGGAAAGCGTGCCAAGGCAACTGTGGACGCTCGCACAACTGCCCCGTCATGAAGGACGGATGGGTTTGCAACGCACCTCCAGGGCAGCGCAGCCCCGGCAACTGCCCACACAAGTGACTAGACCCGGTATCCACCGTGGGAACCAGGCAAGCAGAGGGCACAGTCCCCAGGTGCCTTGGGCCCTGCCCATGCCCCCGACACAGCGGGCATTGACCCAGTGGACTGGGAGCGCATCGGACGCTTGGGCCGAACTGCAACAGTGGATGCAATTTGTGCCGCAACGTCTACATGAGCATTTGCCCCCTCAGACCTCAGCCCATCTCCTTCTCTATGCCGGGAAGGATGATGCTACGTCGCTAGACTCCTGCACCCGAAAGCTCTTCCCTGACCTATCAACAGAGCTCATTGCCTTGGACATCAGGCGGGACGGAAAGGAAGTCAAGCATGACCTCCTCCGGGACCAACCCTACAGTGACCTGTGTGCGAGCTGGAAGGAGTGGGCGGTGGCCCCACCTGCCGCACATGGAGCATCCTCCGATGGATTCCCAAGCCGGGAGCACCACCCCCGGTACGAGGTCGCCGGGAACCCTACTGCTGCAGTTTGGACTGCCTAAACACCACAGATCAGCAGCTTGTGGATGACGACAGCATTCTTCTGCCCACCTGGGCAGGGCACGGCGGAGGCTTCCAGCCCCATGGAACTTCCTGGAGCGCCCAGTTGACCCAAAGGACACCGGCACAGCACCGAGTGCATTGAGGTGCAGCTCCATCTGGGCCACACGGGCGGTACGCACATGGTATCGCCTGATAGGAAACACACTATTACCTTTGACCAATGCCGGCTTGGCCAGGTGGTCAAAAAGACGACGACGTTGTCCACCAACCTCCTCCTTCGGCACTGGCGCGGCATGTGCTGCGACCACAAACCGGAGGAGCACCGGCAGAGGAACACCCTCATGTCATCCGACCTGAGCAGGTATACCCCTGGCACATGATGCAGGGCCTGGCGAACGCCATCCATGACTACCAGGGGAGGATCACCCCCCGCGGGCCACCAACAGCGCCCTGCTCCGCAGCTGCTTCATGCGCTGATCTCGGACCAGGTGCCGCCAAAAGGCCAAGGCTGGGGGACACGACCGATTCGGCCCCCCCAGCAGTACCAATGGACCAACTAAATGACCAGGGGCGGGTACACACACCCCCCCCGGCTCAGCACTCCGCCTGCGGTACGTCCCGGGAGTTTGAGATCTCATCTCAATCCAATCAGATGCAGCCCTTTGTGGAAGGGCTCACGGATGGCCAATCCGACTCCGCCTGCGATCTGCAGCAGGAGAAGGCCCCCCCCAGTGGGGCAGGCTGGAGGAAGCCCTCCACTCAACACGCCCGGTCCAGTGGACCAAGGCTCCGCCTGCGGTACGTCCCGGGAGCGGCGAACCTCACCTCCGCAGGAGGCACACAAGGACCAGAAGGGCCCTCCACAGACGGATGGAGGGACCCCCACACAAAGGAGGGGACAACCTCAGAACCCCACCTCCGCCTGCGGGAGGCTTTCTCGACTACACCAAACGAGACGAAACAGCCAGGAGTGGATAGACCTTCTCGTCTGCCCACCACGGCCAGACTCCATCTTTTGGACGACGAACTCCTGGTCCCCTTGGGATTCAGAGTTAGACCCTTGCGGGATGGAGGGGGAAAAACCTCCCCGGGTCGCACTCCGCCACCACTGAGGCCCTACTCGCCATTGGCCACTAAGGGTCACCTGATCCTGACTAAGGTCCAAACCTTCACCAAGGACTTCCGTCACTCCATCAGCCAACACGAAAAACAGCACCCTTTTCCAGAAGCTCTGCTATGTGAAGTTCGCCATATTCTGGTGGGCCCGCACAAAGACACCATTGATCCGGGACAACCGTTCTACCTGGAGGCCATCCATGACCTGGCTAGACAGATGAACGATGCAGACCAGCACTACCCCCTCACTCTCAGGGGGGGAGTCCCACTTGGTGTCTCGGAACCCACGCTCGCTAGCCCGGGGATCTGGCCTACAAAGACAGAACTCAAAGGTGAAGATCCCACTCAGGACTTCCTGCCGCCCCCTGTGGGTAGGGACAACTATAGCTCAGCAGAACAGTTCATTGCGGAGATCAAACAAACCTTCCGGGAAGAAAGAGACATGGGCATGGTCGAAGGACCCTTCACCATCACCGAAGCGGCGGACTACTGTGGGTGCACCCCAGAAGAACTCTGCCCGGGCCCTATGGCAGCCATCGATGAGGGGGACAAAGTGAGAACCATCTATGATGGCTCTGGGGGGGGGGCTAACGCCCACATCCAACGGCACACGGAGGAGTGTACCACAGCGCCCACCGTCATGGACTGCGTTCACTGCCTGCACTGGCTACGTGCCTCTGGTGGGACCTGCCCTTCCAAACGGGCCAGTGGACATGGCCGGAACCGGCCACGGAATGGCACATCCTCAAGGCGGATGTCACCAAGGCGCACAGACGCATCAAGATCCACTCCCAGGACTGGCGATTCCAGGTGGCCCAAATTGGAGATGAATGGTGGGTCAACAAGGTGGGCGCCTACGGCATGGCAAGCGCCCAACTCTACTGGGGGCGAATGGCAGCCCTCCTCCTTAGGATCATCTACGCAGTGTTTCCCGACATTGATTGGGGGTTCGTCTTCGTCGATGACTTTGCCTGGCTACTTCGGGGCCACTTAGCCGACCTGCACTCCACCGCTTTACTGGTGGTGCTGCATCCTTGGGAACCCCCCTGAGCTGGAAGAAGACGGCCCTCTCACACACGAACACGTGGCTTGGTTTCGTCATTGATCCATCAGGACCCATTGTCCAGATGGCAAAAGAGAAACATGCCCTGGTCATGCAGCTACTGGACCGCCTGGCAGCGGGGGAAGTCTTTACCCTCAAGGACCTTGAGAAGGGCATGGGTCGACTGCAATGGGCAACAAGTGCCTGTCCCTTGACCACGCCACTTCTCCAGCCGCTCTGGCAATGGAAAGGAGCGGTGAAGTCCTCTGGCAAGCCAAACCACCTGATACGCACCTTTGCCAAGATGCTGCGACTTCTCTTCCATGAGCCCTACACCCAATCCACTCCATTTGCACCCTGGTCGCCCTGGCACGGGGCGAGTGATGCGAGTGCCTCCACCCAAAGGCTCTCCTCTGACCCTACTCCAACAAAACGGTCAGTTTCTGGTTCCATCTCCGCATGGACGAGGCGTCCTTTCCCTGGCTCTTCAAAACTAAGACTGCCGGCGCCATGATCCCAGCACTCGAGCTCCTGGGATCACTCATCCTCATTGCCCTCATTCTGAAGATGGGGGAACGCAACCAGCTGGCAGTCAAGATCCCAGTGATCACGGATAACCAAGGCAACGTCTTCTGCATGCTGAACAACAAGACGAGACAGATGCCCACTGCTGCCATTTTGATGCAGCTTGTCCTGACGCTCCACAAGGGGGGCGCGCAACTTGCCCCACACCACGTGAAGCGGGACCTCAACCAGTGGGCTGATGAACTTACTCATCCAAACCCCACGGGGTTTCATCCTGAGTTTCACTTAGACGCGAAGAACATCCTCTCAGAGTTCACCCTGATGAACTGGGTCCTCAAGGAGATCTACCATTACTGAGGACCGCCATTTTCCCTTTTAAGCTCCCTGCCAGCTGCTTCACGCGCTGACTAGAAGGGGGCCAACCATTCCCGACCGTGACACCCATGGGTCCTAGACTGGACGCCCGGTGTCAGTCTGCTTTACAGGTTCTCACCGGCTGATTTTCGAATGCCACCCAGTGCAACCCAGGTGAAGACCTGGTATGGGTGAAAAGGACAGTTCAAACCTGTAAAGGCAGACACTACCACCTCTCTGGAAAAGAGGTGCAAGCTGCTGTCTTAACGCTGCTGTCTGCCTTTTTGGATTGATGTTTGGGGACACATTCTATTCTATTCAAGGTCATTCTATTCTATTCTATTCTATTAGATGTATTCTATTCTGTTCTATTCTATTCTATTCTATTCTATTCTATTCTAAGTCTTAGGGGAATTTCGTTGGTTCAGTGGTTCAGCTAGGGACTTTTCCAGGCTGGGTGGTCTTCAAGTCCATCCTTGGGCTGCCCACACACTTGAACCTTGCGTCTAGTGTTTGCAGGTCTACACTTGGCATGTTGAGCCTGAACATGGGTCATGTGCTGGCCGTGTTACGAGCCACCATGCTCTTACCGCATGCTCTTGACAGCATGGGGTGGAGTGAAAGGGGCCGAAGAAACGCTCGCTCCTTTCCAAGGTTCGATGGTAAGGAAGGCTTCTGAGCTTGGACCTGGATCACGTGGGTTTGTCTTAGAAACACATTTTGGCACAGACGACCAGACGACCTGGGTGTGGTCAATTGCTCAACAGTTTCAATTTTATCAAATTGAGTTGAGGATACTGCAGATCTTACATATTTTGAGACAGACACACGTTACAACGTTCATGGTCCGCTCACGGCCGACACAAAAACGGCATCACTCCGCTCCTCCTTGTGAGCTCAGACTGTGGCAAAAAGGCAGAAAGGGGTGGGGTGGCAAGGGTGGGAAGAAGATCTTCCAGGAGCACCCGGAAGTGGTGGGGTTGGTGGGATTTTTTGTGTGATTCTTTGTGTAATCTTCTTGGGCTAGTGAAGCATGTTCTTTTTTGGGGTCCCGGTGGAGTAGCGCCAGGTTTGGATGGCCAAGTCAGTTCCATAATGACAGTATGTCATCTATCAAAAATGGTGGACGACTTGGTGCAATCTGTCACCTGCTTTTACAGCTTTTGCACACGTGCACCAAGGACCTGACCAGCAACCATACCTAGGCCTTTCGAGGGTCGGAAGATGAGCACTTCTGGTAGCTTCAGCTTTGTTTTCCTTTACACAACGGTTCACAGCCTCACTGCCGGGTTTTGCCATCTAGAATCCAGTAGGTGCAAATGCATGCAAATACCAATACCTGCACTTGTTCGTACGTGCCCTTTGTCATGTCGAGTGTCTGCACCCCACGACTGACGTCGTGCAACATCTCATGCCGGCGCCTTTCGATCGCGCTTGAAACGGCGCTTCGATCTCGGCGGCGGGAGCCTGTCCTTGGGTTCACACCGATGTGCTACTCTCAGGTCCTTGAAACGAAAATAAACGTGACGAGGAAAGAGGAAAGCTATGAGGAAGGGTCTGCTGTGGAGGTCAGGCAAACGTGGAGCAAAGAATTCTTGGAATTGCGCAGCTGGTGGTCAACAGTCTCCTGATACCGGGTGAAGAGACACCATGGGACCCCGCCCGCTCGATGGATCTCTTCAACCTGGAATGCTTCCAAACACCTTGCGTCGTTTCTTTGGCGCCTGAGATTTGGGCCAAGCTGCTTGCTGTAGCTGACCAGCAGCATCACCTTGTTGGCAAGCACCAGTGGACTTGTTGGGTGCAGCAGGGTTCCATAACCAGGCGAATGCTATGCCCTTTTTAACAACTTTTCATTCGCACGGATGGACACTAGAAGAGTTGAAGTCTTACCCAGCATCGTATCGTTCTTGTCGAGTGCCTATGATAGATATTCTACGTACAACAGATGGAACTAAAGACCGAGATATGGCTTGCTGCTGAAAGAATATGTTGTATTTGGAGGAGAAACTGTCCTTCCAACAACTGCAAACTGCACATCATCCAGTATCACATGTTACATGTTCACCATGACACCAGAGCACCCAGACACCATTTTCGCCGAGCCTGGCATCAATTCTCGCTCGATGCACCGGGCACTCCTTCGCGCATGTCGCACACGTGGACGGCGCGCCCCGTGGGGGTGGAGAGGTGCCCCGATGTGCGCTTTCTCAAGAGGGGAAGGAGCTGAGTGAGCTGAGGTTTCCTTTTCTTTCAAAACAGTTAGCTTCCCTCCACGTTCTTTTACCGCGGGTGTCAGGCAGTCTTCCAGTGCTCCATGTTCTGGTTCAAAACCTTGGCTTTACAACAGGGTGCACAAGAACCACATGAAGCAACAGATGATGCTGCTTTTCGAAGTCTTTGACACGAATTCCAACAGAGGTATCAAAGAGTTGGTTCAGAAGCTCGTGTCTGGGATTTGTTCATCAAGGTCCATCTCCACCAGGAGTTCTCATTTCCCCAAAGTTGTCATTGTTCAATCCTAGTCTTAGAGTCTTAGAGGTCAGCAAGTAGCAAGTACTGTAGATAGAAGGGACCTTTGGTGTAAAACACAATAATAACATACAATAACAATAAGGACAACAATAATAACTTAAGAATATAAATGCACATATATATATATACAATTATATACACATGTTTCTATCAGCTTTGAGTCCCTTTACTTCGCCAGTTCTAGCCCTTTCACGCACGCGCAGAGTTCAGATTTTCGTTTGACATCAAGCTGCTTCCAATGTCTTCGCCTTTTGGACCACCCCGACTTCCTCTGACTTCCACCGGCGCCGCACTGGCTCCGCCAAAGGTCACACCTCAGCAGTCTCAGCTTTGGTCACGGGTGAGGTGTGGAGCGGGAGAGCGGGAGTACCGAACCTTTCCGAACCAGGTGTTGGTGGTCCCTGCGAGCGCACCAAAACTGGTGGCTTTCCTCCAAAATGAACGCTCAATGCCCACCTGTTGTGGTGGGGGCTCCCGGTCCTTTGCAATGGTTGCACCCTGGGGTCTCAAGAGGCCTATCATCATCCAATTACTGAGTGGAGGGTAATTGGTAAGCGTGCTTGTTGCAGGAGAAAGTATGGCCGCTGTGCTGGTAAGAGAGTTCTGCAAGCTGCGTTTTCCATGAGTCTGAACATTGGGGCGGCCCTCATTCTTCTTTTTTTGCCTGTCGGCGGTCTCGGGCATCGAGGCCGAAGCGGACTTGGCAGCTCGAGAAGTGGCCGAGAGGTCAGAGACTGACCATCGGAGCGGTCGGTGTTGCACAGGTCTCGTAGCGGTCAGAGACTCCTACCACAGATAGGTGAACCATGGTGAACCACAACAACACCCCCAAATTGGTTGGTTTTTCTTTCTTCACACCGGGACGAAACATATTGTCACGTTGAAGAAGTGTGGTCTGGACCAGTTCCGAGACTTCAGTCCATCAGATGGCCGAACTGGGCCAGGTTCCCGTGGTGCAACTGGGCCATCCTCAAGTCATTTTTGGGTGCTGGGACGAGGTTGCGAGAATTTGGAAGATCCTCAAATCACAGCAAACTACCTTGTTTGATCGCCTGACTGGATTTTTTGGACAAAATTAGATGAAAGGCGATGAAAGCCAACGTAGGCACCTCCCCAAGCAACCCTTCTTGGTATAGGAACACTGAACCTATCACTTGGGCCAAGCTGGGTCTTCTCATTTCGGCACCTATCTGACTACAATGCAACGCTTCCCATGTTCGAAACCCGCAGACCGGACGCCGACCCAGCCGACCAAGGCTAGCCACCTCTTGCGAGTCCCCTTCCTTGCTGCTTTTCTTGGCCAAAGGGTATGGACCACGATGCTCGGATGCAAAGACGACCGAAAGGCTGAACCCTTGGGCCGTGGAACTCAATATCTTGATGGCTTTGAAGGGTTTGGATCTTTACCCACCAAAAAAGCCCCTGTTCCGTGGAAAAAGGATAAAAACGGGATTGTAGCCACTGTAGCCACTGTAGGGATGTTTCGTTGTTCTTCGCAGCTCATCTTCACTCCCTCTGACCATCCTTACGCCCCATGTTTCGTTGCTGCCCAAGGCTCCACTTCTGTGGGACCTCTCTTACAGGCGTGGGCGCTGGTCGACTGTGCAACACAACACGATGGGGATGGGGTTTCGACGGCTCAAAAGCGTCGGCTCGATGGCTGAAGAACAGTTGCCCTGTTGCCCTGTTAGCTGGCGCACGCGCAGCTATTTTTGGCTGGTAGCTATTTTTGGCTGTTGCCCTGTTGGCTATTTTTGGCTGGTAGATGCTGGTTAGCCCTGCAGGATTGTATTCATGTGTTGTTCTTTTGGGAGTGAATGTTTGCATTTGAGGATCAAGATTGCTGAGTCTCTGCACCCCTGGCAAACGATTCTGCCATTGATCAGCAAAACGACCACCTTTCGCAGCATAACGTCTTCGTCTTCCCAGGGTCCACACCATCATCACCCAGTTCATCAAAGCGGCGAGATGAACAACTGTTCCAAAGATTTGCCAGCAATCCACAGGGTTTTGCTGCACAGGAACGCTTCAAAGATACGATCATCGTGGGCTGCAACTCCGAGGGTGGTGCCCTTTGGCGAAGAATAGAACCGGCAGAGAGGAGGCGGTTGAGATGCTTTTTGGGTAGGATGACCACAGACCATCAAATCAAACAGATTTGCTGCATCAGAAGTCTTAGGGCCAGGCTCTGAAAGCCTAATCATTGGCTGCCATGACATGAATGAGAGTTTGAGGAACTGCAACACCATCTATCTGAAGCCAAGTGCATTTCTTCCTGAACCTTTCAGATGAGTCCTTGTTCTGTAGAAGGCAAACTTGCCTCAGTTTGTCAAGGCCCTTGAGTCAGCTTGATGTTTGTGAACATTTGTCACATGAACCCTGGACCCTCATCCGACCTGCCAGCTTCGGAGTTTCGAGTCCCTGGTTCAACACAGCCACCCGCTGGCAACCGTGGTCTAGCGAGGTGATCGCCACGGGCGTGGAGCACCAGCAAGAGACCTTTGCCCTTGCGGCGCTGGCACTGAAGAGTGCGGGTGCGGAGCCCAAGGACGGAATCCCAGCCCTTGCGGAGCCGAAACGTAGTGAGTTCGTTTTGGTGTCCTCAAGAGGGGGTTGCGACCCTGAGGTCGCCTCCGAGAATTTTGGGCCTTTTTTGATCTTTTTTGGATCTGTTTGGTCTCTCAAGAGTGCTGAGTCTGAGTGGTGTTCTTTTCCCACCAAGTCGGTCACACCATTATCGACATTGCTTGCACCAACAGGCAATTAAGTTGTGTGTTTGCCAACAATTCATCCCCCACCTCGTCGAGGCTTGTCGGCCTATCCCTTCTGCGGCGATCTGTCTGAGCTTCCGCCGTTGCGCCGAGGCAGGTGTGGACCTGAGCGGTTGAAGCGTCGCGGAGTCATTGGATACAGGGTTTGACGGTAGTGACCCTTGACACACCACATTGGGCCAATAAACTCTCCAACCATGCACCATTTTGCAAGGCTTACAATGAATCCACCTAAGGCAACCATGTAGGTGACAAAGACAACTTGATTAGAAGTGCATGGCTACTATATGGCTAAATGAACTTAAACAAAACGATCTAGCACCTTTCTGCACAACCTGCTTCAGATGATCACTCATTCTAGCTCCTTCTTGCTAGCAGATACCTCCCCTGCCGCGGGACCGCGTATCTAGGCGGCAAGTGGTCCAGCATGGAGGACCGCGCCGCCCTGGCCTTCAGCAGTCTGCCCTCCCCGGGAGGCGATCCACAGGGCTGGGCGCCTGGGCTGCTGTCAAAACGGTTTGGGACGAGCCAGACCGGTAGCCGGATGGGGACACGCCGAATGGCATGTTCGTGCGGTCCTGGCGCGGCTGACGGCGCCGAGGTGTACATGCTGGACATGATGCTGAAGAGTGGCTTGGCTATGCCAGGATGGACCTGTTGTGAGCAGGGATGCCCTGTGAGGCGGCTTTGTTTCTGCCAGCGAAATGGCCTAATTCGATGACTTGGGTTCAGCACCACTTTGCGGACACAGGAGCTGTTGAACAATTTGATGTGGGGTTTGGACCAGGACACTGATACCCTGTAGGCACGGGTGCAGTAGCCTCCGCATATTTCACACATCACCAGTGCATAGCTTGGCACAACTCCCACAAAGCCCATGAGAGCTTTGAGGGGCCGCGAGTGAGCGTGTGCTGCCGGTTGGTCACACACGATGGTTTTCGCATGGCCAGGCTGATGCAGAATGCTGGTGGATCATCTTCGACCAGCTTCGTCAGCATCAATCATATCATTTAAAATTCATTTAAATTTAACGTAGACGTAGAATGACGAAATGTGTCGGAAGTTCGGAAGATCCACCTCCAAACCAGTTGCTGTGCTCCCCAAACCATCAAACGCCTACCATCCTCCACACCCCTACCATCCTCCACCATTTTCCAGGTCGTAGTGGCCGGCCGCCCACCGTGGTCGGCGGCATGCCAGTGGGAGGCCACGCCTTCGTGGACGGAGATCTCCAGGCGAGACCTGGCGGTCAAGTGCGACGAATCATGTGACCAGTAAAACGAACCATAAAAATGAGACGATACGATCATAAAATTTGAGATTATATAACTATATATAACTATATATATATATATACATGAATCATGACCAGCAAGCCAGCAGACGCCTTCCTTGTGATTCACCTCGTCGTCACCTGGTGGTCCGTTGGAGATTTCGGTTGCCGAGGTCTCTGGTGCCTTCGGTGTGCTTCTCGAAGGCCTCGAGTGTTCGCCGGTGGTTTGTGGCTTGGTTTGACCGAACGCGTGGGGCAAAACGGGGGTCCTGACGAGAATCGCGGATGAAGGCGAAGCACGAGCACGTCGTGTGGCGGACAGTTGGTTTTATTTTGTTTTACTTGTTTTGCTCCTTCTTTTTTGATCTTTTTGGTTCTGGGGTTGAACGCTTTTGCTAGCATTTCTCTCGAAAAAAGGTTTGGCAAGGTGGGCAGTTTTGGTTGGATGTTTTGTTTGAAAGCATGGCTTGCACAGAAGGGCAGCCAAACAGGTCGTTTGCCATGGCAACAAATTTGTCTCTGAACATGGGAACCATTTACATCATAAACGCCAACAACTTCCTCTAATTCAGCATGTTTGGTGTGACTCATGTCACTCTAAGAGCATCAACGCTTTGACCAAAGGAATCTATGATTTTCATAAAATATCATAGAATAGATTGGTGGCTAATTTATCCCAGAAAAGATTTCTCGCCTCCGATTCAATGACATGATCGCGCGGTTAGCTGAACTACAAAGGCAAAACAAGGAGCCAGGAAGAGGAAACCATTGGAATGGGGACTTCAAGACAACCAACCGTTGGCAAGGGTAACGTGGATAAGGCATAGGGCATAGGGACGACCAAAAACGGGCAAAGCTAACTTGCAAAGGGTGTGCACATGGATCCGCGAAAGCTGCGATACGTGAATGGATCCCCTTCTTGGAGCATTATCACCCTCAAGATATCCCAAAACAGAATTTCCCAGAAACAAGTACATATGTAGAAGTGACTCCCCTATATTGACACATGGTCTTGCACACCGTGAAGCTACTTCGGCTACGCCCCGCACGTGTACCGTCCTCAGGTCAAGGTGCTGAGCCCTTTGGACCCTTTCTGGAAATCACGGCGGTGCGCGCTGACCACGTGCCTTGGATGGTGAACAAGGTGAAGTGCTGGAGATCTGAAGGACCCTCCAGTCGTTGCAAAGTCCGATTTTCAGAGCCCAGGGCATCGGCTACTAGCAAGTAGCTCCTGGCATTACTAGTAGCAAGAAGCTGCTAGCAAAATTCGCCTCTTGGAAGACCCCACCAATTTGCATGTTTCGAGGTTCAGGGTCTGGATGGTCTTGGGGTCCTCCTCTGTTTGGACACCAAAAGCCACATGAGATGCTCCGCTCAGATCATCAGTGAGATCAATGGCCAGAACCCTCGCCAGCTGCTGATGCCCTTGATGCATGGGCCACAGGTGCCGGGGCATGGGCACTCGATGGCAGGCGCGGTGGTCACGGTGGGGCCGCCCTGGTGTGGGCCTTCCAGATTACATAGGTCATCGGTCATAGGACTGTGTTGATGTTTTTTGATGTTTTGTTCTTGACTCTGTCCTGCAGGTCGTCAAAAGAACTTGCAGAATGTATACTGTATGAGTTGATGATTAAAATCACTTCCCAACTTCCCATCTGTACCTCCGGAATTCTTTGGAACACCATTCGATCATTGCGCCATCATGGCGCCGCCTTCGTGGATTTCCTGCCGCCTGGTAGGTGTCTTCGTGGACCCAAAGCCTGATGAACCCCATGGCGCCACTCGGTGATGCGACCGCTCCGGGCATTCCGACCGCTGGGATTTCGAGGGACTTCCGACACGACTTGCGGCGGGTTCGGTGTGTGGAACTTGCTCAGCAGTGCCCGGAAGGTGTAACTTGAAGTCTCAACCTGATCTAAGGTGGTGAAGAGGCAGATCCCTATAGCTTGTTCAGAGGTAGTGATTAGTGTCCAAAGAGAGATGGGACTCTGACAAGAACTGACACATTCAGAGTTGGAAGATCAGTCTTGAAAGTTTAGCTGGGGTTTTGTTGGAGTCAGTTTGCATTCCGGACTGGTGCTGAAAGCATAAGCAACAGCTTCTTTTGTCTAACCAGCGTCTTCATGCTAGTCTTCCAGGGTGGACACATGACAACTCTTTGGTTATCTTTGGTTGCACAAACTTGCACTTTTGGACATGTCTCCCACCTGCTAGTTCCAATAGTTAGAGGTGCTGCTCTTAACCACCCATCCATGACAGGGTCATCTCATTTTCTACGGAACTCCTATTTGGGAAATTGATGGACATGGATGGACATGGTGTATTCCAATATATATATATATATATGCATTCTTGGGGATGGTCTGGTGCCTCCAGCAGCTCCTGCACCCGATCTGGCCCCATTGCTCAGTCCTGGACGGACGCGCATTTGGCGGCGGCGGCGCTGGGCGGCCGCCCGAACTGTCCCTGGACGGCCAGGAGTGGTGGAGGACGGTGCGAGGTTTTGTTGTGAGTGGTTGGGGTTTGTGGCTTGTTCAAAGTGCTTTTGCTTTTTCATCAGTCCAGTTGGAGGTAGCTGAGCTCCTCATAAACAGAACTCTGTTCAACGGCTGGGACCAATGAAGCGTGAAAGGAATGGACAGGCCAACAACAGTGCGTCTAGATACTCGGTGCATCCCATTACCAGTAAGGGTTGGTAAAAGACGACCGACGCCTTTGCTAACCATCATCGTCCACTGGGCCCTGGTAATTTGGAGAACTTCTAGATGCGTGCGGCCGGACATGAAAAAGACGAGGACGACCAGTCTATGGTCTTTTTCTCAAATTTATCCTGTTTGTGTTGGCACTAACCTTATTCAATGGAACTTTTGAACATGGTGGATTCACGTGATACCGTAGTCATATTCATGCGGGGGGTTCACTTGGCCCAGAAATACATTGGATCCACATCTCATCCCACCGGTGTCACCGGTGTCCCAGGCTTGGTTCGGCCCATGCACTCCTTCACGCCGGAGGGGCACTTGGTCCTGCCGGAAGCTCAGCTGGAGCCTGGGGTCTTGCTGTGCGGAAAGACATGGCGGGTCAGTAGACCTCATAGCGATGAAGCCAAAAGAGAGAACAGGATCCTTGAATTCAATGCGAAGAAGACTGAAGCCCCAAAAGGAACATGTGGAAGCTGTTTCTATTTATTTGGAGACATCGTACTTTTTTGTCATGTAAGATACCCTGAAGTCACTCTGGAGTGGTACCCTCACACTTCTTCTACCTACACAATATGATTGTACTTGAATGACTTCACCAAAAGACTGGCTATGGCCGGGCAACACTTTGGGGCAGCGATGCTCGAAGTCCAACAAAAGACAGGTCGATGGCGATATCAAGAGTGTTTGATGTTTTGGGCTTCAAAGAAATGATGTTTGTGACACCTTTTCTTCCGTTGCCAGATAAGCAATACGTAGCTAAGAGGGCTTCAAATCCGGAATTGCAAAGGACTTTGGTGAATGCATGCCACGATATCGAAGACCCTTGCCAATGGTGCATGCACCATTCCAGTCTGATGTGACTTAATTTGAGGTGGGTAACAGGGGCGAAAGGCCAAACGTGATCTGAAATCTCCTGAAATCCCAGTGATGACCCTTGCGTGTTTGGATGACCCCTTGAAACAACAAATGGCTCCCATCATAAAAGGCTCCCTTCACCCATTTGGTCAAAAGGACGCCCACGATATGAACAAAAAGGAAAAACCGTGGCGAAGCCCCCATTTTCATCATGGAACTCACCACGGTTTTCACCGTGGCAACGAAAACGGGCAACGAAAGCGGGCAACGAGGTCGCCCTTGACCGAGATGACACCCTACACACCAGGCGCAGAGAGTGCAACTTACGTGCCAGGAGCATATGCAACCAGCACATGCAACCAGCTGGAACATATTGTGGATGCTTCTAACATGTGTTCTATAACTGAATTTGTGATTGAGCTCATGAGCCAGGCAGAGTCAAAGCACATAACATTCCCTGTATCCGCTGCATGCCGCTTCATTGAAGGAGTCTACGTAAAAAACATGACCATGAAGGAGTCTGCCTGATGAGAGAAGCTGTTCATTTGCACACACGTTCTTCGTTGGTTGATCTTCATCGCTACGACCTTGGTCGAGGAAACCATCTGAGGGGTGGGTCGTGACCCATCAGCACTGGGTCCACCCGTTGCCGCGAAGCGATTGACCTGGTCGTAGCGATCCATCCGCGAGCTGCGCTGCTTTCGATGAACGGCGCAGCCGAAAGATGCCGTTCGCTGCGCTGCTTTCGTTCGGTGCGCAGCCAGGCATCCAACTCCAGTTGCAGTGCTTTAGCCCTGAGCATGTCGGGCGACCCAACCGGCGAAGGAATTGGATGAAACCCAAATCGCAAAGGCGGCAGGCCAAGTTGACCGTGCTACCACGCTATGTTTTGTCACTGGAGGCCGGCTGATTTGTGGTTTTTGATGTGGGTGATGTGAGTATTGCGAAGAGGACTTTGATACAAAGGGCCCCGTGTCTTTTGTGGGTCGCGGACCATCCTTTGCTCAGCAAACATAGAAACTGCAGATCTCCTTTGAAGAGGTATATAGTTATAATTCAGAATATATATAATTATGTATATATATATATAATATACATATATATAACACAGGTAGTCTCATCACAAACACGCCATGCCCCCGCTGAAGGACCCCCTCTTCAGACTTGCCATGCCCCCTTTCCATGGCCCTCTTCCATGAGCAACTCTCGTCGCTGGTTCACCTTCGTCAGAGGCCTTGGCGGACTTGCGCTCGCGGGCCGAGACCGCCGCGGGCTGAGTCTGCTGAGTCCGGTTTGGGACCGTGGCATGGATGACCGCTGCTCGTTCTGAAAAAGGGACCGCAAAGAGAAACGGGCCCCATGGGCATGAGGCATGCACGACTCATCAGATGGAAGTTTCGAGCAGGAACGTTTCGAGGGACGAACGTTCCTCCTCGCGCGACCAAACCTGCTGAGGACCACTGAAACAGGGTTCTTTTCATGCTGAGGACATGGCGCTCCACGGGCGGCCGCCGGATGCTGCGGTGGGGGCAGGGTGCGATGAAAGGGCGGACGGTTGTGGTGGAGTTGTAAAGGGTAGTTTTGGGTACAAAACTAATGGATCCAACGATGCTCATATGTACATCTTCAGATTTTAGCTGGTCCTGGTTGCTATTTGTTTGTCGTGGTTCCAAATCATGGCCAGGTTAAATTCAGGGTTCATTGAGCGACCGTTTAAGAAGGTCATGTCAAAGAGAAGCAAACTAGCAGCACCTGCTCCATCCCCACTGGAACTCAGCAACTAGTACCCATGATGACATTATGTAGTTGCCTTCTCATCTTCCATTGCGCACTAAGTTGGTATCTAAGGCAGCACAGCCCCCGTTTGCTCCACTTGCTTCACCTAAACCGCCTGCTCCACACTCTTCACCATCTCCTTCACTCTGATCTCAGAAGCTCCACCGCTGTGAGAGGTGATCATCAGCTGTGGCGCACGCGGCAGGGAACTCTATGGCCAAGAGGGTGTGGAGAGTGCCTTGGCGCGGTTTCACGACCGGAGTTGGGCGGTGAAGCAAACCACAGCCAAATCAGGTCGGGAGGCGAAGGATACAAGGCGGAGTTGGCAACAAAATAGCTTCAAGCCTTTCTTTGGGGGATCCGAGGCTTGTTCCTTTTCCGCGCGTGATGTTGCAGATTGTGGGACCCCCCACTTGTGGGCGTCAATCTTTGTCAACGACATGCAAACACATGAAACAAAAATGCATGTTCCAGGAGTCACAAAGGAGTGGTGTTTAGTCCCTAAGTGAGTGGATCATGGGCACCCCGAACCTCCATGGATAGCACCCCCTTTGTGACTGCAGGTTCGAGCATGTTGAGTTGAACCGAAAAGGGGCCAAGCCGGGCCAAACGCATCCGACCGCGCAAAACGGACGCGAAAAACGGCGATGGAGCCGTAACGCGCCGTAACGGCGTGAAGCGAGGCGCAATCTTCCGAGAGGTTTGGGGATGCGATGTCCCCACGGTGGGGGGCCAAGGTGGGCAAAACGAACCTGTTGTGCTTGGAATTGGAGCCTTGGACAAGGTGTAACAAAGGGGTCGAAGCAATGCCATCCTTGAGGAGGTGTTTGGTTTGTTTTTTGAAGATTGAGATCAGCTTGCTCGCCTGTTGGTCAGATCTTAATCGCAAAGTGTTCACGTCAGGCAGGACGGCAGGAGCTCCACCGAACCTACAGCAGAGCTTGCTCCCCAAGATTCCATGTTCACAGGGTTGTATCAGATTTTGGTCCTCAAAGTCAGCTTCCAGAAGAAGCAATAACAGAACATCTCAAAATGGTTTGTAGTGTTTGTAGAGCAACAGGAGTTTCCACCTTCGTCCAGGCACACTGTGTTTTTAATTGGTTTTAGATGTTTTCCCACCAGCGAGTGCGCAACTGATCTCTGTGGATGTCAAGAATATACTTGCACCAAATGAAAGTGCACTAGCACCAACAGCTCCGAACTCCATGACCTTTACCTTGTGGGCCAGGCGTTTGCAAGTGACCAATTTCGCATCATGAAAGTCATTTGATGGAACCTGCCATACCCATACGTAGCAGCTAACCTCACGAGGTTTCAGGTGTGGAGCTTCCAAGGGCAGTGGCCAAGCAGGTTTCCGAAGCTTCAGAGCATCTTCCAGAGCCAAGGTTCCATGAACAAATATCAACAATGGAATCAATATGTTCATATATGGAATCAATATGTGAGGAATGATGTTGCTGAGGGAGATTCTTGGTATGACATTTTGGATGGTGATATTCTTTGGGATGATCTTCCAAAGGGCTTTGAAGCCATGTTTGCCTCAGGTGGGTTTCTTCGCCGGCGGCGAGTTCGGCCCAGTAGGGCTCAGGACGGCGTTTAGCGGTGACAACTTCGTCTTTGACGTGGGAAACTGGGAGACAGCCGATTTAGCCAGGTTTGGGCCTCTTTAGCGATGTTTTGCACATGTAGACAGAACTACATGAGCCCTTGGGTTTTGCCAGTGTGGAGAAGCGAACGTCAGATACCTGTGGAACTGAACCCTTCGGCACTCAGAACCTGCTTGATGAAGGAGCTACTTGCATGGATACACCACCTCCTGCTTGATGATCCGAGGTTCAGAGCCTTGGGTCATATGGGGAGGCAGTGCGCACATGCTTGATACATAGGGGGCCATATACTTTGGATGTCACCGAGACATGGTGCAGCCAGTACAAAACAGTTTTTAGAAGAAAGGACTTGGCTCCTTCAATCTCAGAAGACTCAGACCTTCTTAGTTTTCCTGCAAATTCTTGTTCAAGAGCTTTGTTGGTTTTGCTTCCACTCGGCCACCCTTAGTTGAAGACGTGGAAAGACTTAACTATTTTTTCACTATGGTTTCTTTGCTTCCCAACCGCCATTAGTAAGGGTACGGCACATGGACATCAAGCAACTCTACTTTCAGGCCTCTACAACCTTCCAAATGACGCTCCCACAACTTGCCAGTTACTGGACATGGACTGCTTGTGTAAGTTCATCCATGCGCCATGGTAGTTGAAGGGTGTCTTCCATGGTCCAACAGGTGACCGATCCTCGCCACCAATGGCCTAACGGTCACCAGGCAAGCCGCCTTGACGGGCGAGATCTGGACGCAGCGACCAAAGAGCGTTGCGAAAGAAGCTGCCCGCGTTGGGCGGGCTGGCACTGGTGCCATCAAATAAATTCCCAGGACCTTCAAACAAATTGGCGTTGACAGGCGCCAATGAGGAGACAGACACCTGTGTTAAATTGAACCGAAGAGAAGTAGGGCTAACGCCATCCACCTCTTTGAGCCCAAAGAGAAGCCCTAAATCCATCGAAAAGAAAATACAAACCCTGCAAACGCCCAACGACACGATCCGTTCCACTTGACCATTTGAGGCACAAAAAGCTACATCGTGGCGCCTTTCATCCGGAACATCACCGAGATGGATTCCCTTTGAACCATACCAGGCTATTTCATTTTGGTGCTGCCTGAAAGGGAGAACGAACGTTGTTCAAGATGTCTGTCAAGGGGCTTGCTTTTATATCTTGGGTGATTTCTTTCGACATGTGCAACCGAACACCACCCTGAAAAGGGATGAAAAGGGTATATTGGAGAACAGTCCCGGCCAAAAGGGACGTTTGTTTGAAGAACCCATATCATTGTCAAAGCTCAGTACGGGTATGTTTTGGTATGGAGCAGCCTTCAGCGCTGCAGGAAAATCCCTGTCTAGAGTCTGAACAGTACCGCTAATGGAAGGCCTAAGATGCTGATGCTCGGGAAACTACATGAAATGACCAACTCTTGTAGAGATTTGGTTATAAGTCTTTGGATGCTTCTCTCTACACACATTCTAGGGAGACCTTCAAACCCAAGTAATTGCACTTCATCCGATTGCCGGCTGTTCTGGCTCCAGCTACACGTTTCCCTTCCACGTGAGTTTGGCCCGTGGGGAGGCACAGGCATCAAGGAGGCAGCAGGGAATTTTTTGTAGGACTTCACCATGGTTTGACTCCTGAACCAGGCTAGCTTTATTGCATGAAGACCTTTTCATCTATAGAGAACCAACTGGCTGAACCGTTTTTGTGCAATGGGCTTGGAGTGTCATGTGGTGGTGCTCTCGAGAATGAATGTGCTCATACTAGTGGCATCCGGTGTTGACCTGGGCCCCGTTTGAAATCCGGCCAGGTGAGCTGTCATGTTTGAAAGCCAGCAAAAACAAAGGGTAAACAGGTAAACATGGGCTTTGGATCCAAAACTTTCAGAGAAGAATCCACTCTTCTAGGAACCGCCACATTTATGTTACCAATACTCGGTTTCGAGTATACCCGTACCCGTGGTCTCCATCATTTGTTTACGTGGTACTCAGCCAGTTGGGATACATGGCCTCCAAACTTGTTCCATCTCACTTTCATCTCAACCGATGTCTTTACAGCTCTGGTGCGTACAGCACCACGCCCGCTGGTGCCCTGCTCATCTCCGATGGTCAGCCTTCCACGGCAAACATCGCCTGAGGTGGATGATCCGATCATCGAACTATCTTCATGTGCCCCGGATGAAGGACTCATCCAATTCATGGGGAGAAGATGGAGAGATAATGAGCATCTCATAGCATCTCTCATGTTCATCCCCAAAAGCTTCGATATGGACAGGTGGTGGCTGCTTCTTTTTAGATTGGGGTCCCAGTTTCAAAAGAGAGTGGACAACTCGGAACAACTGGAGGGGATTCAATCCAAAACCATCCAAGCCCTCCGAAGGCATATCAAGGTCTTTGGAGCAATTCGGAAGTTTGGCAGGATGCCATGATGTACTTTCAATTGTTGAGATGTTCGAAGCATGACAGCTTAGATTCTTGGACTTTTCTACAATCTTTGACTTTTGTCAAGGTTTTGTAGGACTGCCCTAACATCATGACCTACATAGCCATGCTGCCGTTCAATGATGCCCAAGTTCTGGGATGGCATGAATGACTCGCGAAATTGGCAAAGTTCAAGAGGCAAACTTAGGATTTCCCAGAGAAGACCGGAGGTTTGTTGTTTTTCAATGAACAACTCAACTGTTTACAAACCACTTGAACAGAGTTTACAACCAACAACTAATAACATCCAAAAGACAATGAGACCTAAACATGCCAACCATCCTCCTGGGCCGGTGAGACTGAGGCCGAGCCGAGACCGAGACGATGACTGGCCGAAGGCGAGACAAGACGATGAGGGTCGATTTTTTTGGCAGAACACGGTCGCCCGGGAATTGCGATGGATCGCGGTCTCCGGGTTTTGAATCTGAGACATCGGAAACGTGTTTGTGTTTTGGATCGACCAAATGGGGAACATCTGCTGCAGGAGACCTTGAAGCCGCCGAAAGGCGCGGAAGCACCGGTGCGCGGTCAGCGGTCAGCACTGCATCATCTCATGTGATGGATCTTCGGAGGGCACGCAGTTTGGGGACAGGCCCCATTCATTTGGGAGGTTCCAGCGAGGAGGATCTTTGTGCGCAGAAATTCTTGTTCTCTTGTGCGCGGGAACGGGATGTGGCGAGGTCACTTTGATTTTTTCACTTTGATGTCTTCAAAGAATTGAGAAGCTAAGAGAGACAAGAATTTCAGGCAATTGGATTGGATGCTCACACAAACACATATGGACCTGCAAAGACTAGAGATGAGACCCATGTATGAATTTGAGATGGGGATTTTTTGTAATTCGCATCATGTCACGAAAGGTAGCTTGAGCTACCTGAGTTCTCCTTGCTTTAGCAAAAATGTATTACAATCAGGAGTTGGGATTGTGCATTGAATTTGGTCCTGTAAGAGTTGATTCTGTTCACGCCGTCGTGGACTTCTACCAGGGTTACTTGTGATTGCCTGCTACCTTTCGTTCACCCCCTCCTCTCTCAAGTACTGTATGCCAGCTGACTGAACTTGGAGAGGAAACACAACAGGTGAAGATGCGGCAACCTGCTGCGCGATCTATTTGGAAAACCCGGATGGCCGCCTGCCAGCAAGCAGTGGCTTTGGGCGGTGGTCGCGCAGGCGCGCAGGCGGACACCTAGAAGAAACTCAATAAGTAGAAATAAATGGCCTTTAGATATGCCCAGACAAGATAGACATCGAATCTTCCTATTTTCCACAAATTCTACTTTCCATCTATTGCAAACCTTGTAAACTCCATCATAGATACCCGCAACCTTCCCACACACTATCTTCCCCCATTCTTTTTTTGGGGGGGAACATCTGCAGGTGAGACGAGACAACGAGTTGTTTTGGTGGGTGCCAGTTCCATTAGCCAGACGATTCCATGGGCCCCTCTTTGAGGGAAGCGAGTATATACACACTCTGTGTGTCTAATGAGGCGAAGAGTCGGTCGCTCGTCACGAGTTGGTTGGTTGTATTTAAGAGTTGATGAAACCGTAACTTTAAACAAGTCGATGTGAACAGCAAGGAACAGCCTCTCCAAACCTGATCAAGTAGGAGGTCCTGAAAAACAAGCCAAATAAAGGATTTTGGCAGGTGAAGAGGTAAGGAGGTGGTCTGCCTGCTTTATCACGAACGCTCGAAAGGGTCAAAAGGTTGCCCCGACCATGCAACTCAGCCAAGTAGTTTGTGGGGCCCGCCTTCTACAGCACGCTCATAGCATCTTTCCGCAGAACAATGCATTCTCTAAAGTGTAGACCACCTTTCGTGCAATGTAGCAGAATATGCTTCGCGCCTACATGTTTGTTCCACAAAACAGTTCGCGTAACCCAGCATGACACATCACCTCTTTCCACGCCACGCACTGGGGATCGTGCTGCTGCCTGGGAGTTCTCATCGGAAAGAGCCAACGGACAACTGCTGAGGGCAACGGCTCTTTCTCCGATGCTCGAGGGCCTCGAGACACGGGCGGAGGGGGGGCGCCCACTTTCGTGGTTGTGCATCTCATTTTTCCCAGAACATGACGCCCGCCCGAGGTACGTACAGCCTGGGTCAACCTGGCCAGTTTTTAAATATATATATATATTTTTTTTTCTTTTTTTTCCGCTGTACACATACACTCTGTATTGCTACCTGCGAGTTATGTGACAACATGTCTGTATGCTCGTCTGAGGTCAGTGTTGCTGCCCTATGTTCTAAATGGGCCAACGTGCTGTTGGTGCAGAGAATTTGCTGAAGCTGTCAGGATAAATCATTCTCTTGCGAGAGGTTTGAGGAGACTCAGACTCATATTGTGTCTACCAGGCACATTTCTAGACCCTTTGAGACGGTCCTCAAATGGATGTGGCCCCAGTAAAAGAGAGTGTCCGAAAGGGGAGTGCATATTCCCGTTTTCTTTGACAAAGTTGTAGCTTTGTGCTGGGGCTTGAAACACGATTGAAACACGAGGAAACGATGGTCACTCCTCTTGGGCACAGCATAGAATTCCAAAGTCATTTGAATGACCATGTAGCATTGCTAGACATTGCTGGAAACACGACAGCACAAAGCCTTTCTGGCAAGTTTTGCTTGGCCGTCCACCCCAATCATGCATGACCTCTTGGATGCTGAATCATGCAAGCCACTGTTGCAAGCACCAGACTTTCAGCACGGTATTAGAGGTGAGCAGATAACGCGTGAGGCCCTTCTTGGTTCCAGAAGTTCCGGAGAGTTCCTGTGCATTGCATGGGAAAACACCTCGAGCGAAACGGATGGGGAACCGTGCCTGGCACCGTGCGCCATGGCACCGTGCCAGGCCTGCCACCGGACTTGAAGCTCCCGAGCCCCCCCAGCTCCCCGCGCGACGGGAGGTCCGGACGAGGGCGGGATGGGATCGGTGCTTCGCATCGGGTCTGGTGCAAGGAAGTGAGCAGTGGTGTCTTCCCTCCTAACCACATCTCAACCACCTCTCAACTGGTCTTCAACTGGATTTTCAATGGTCCAACATTTTGGGGGCGTTTCCTTTTGCGACCAGCAATGGGTTTGTCAGTGTTGGAGAATCCTTCGTGTACCAATACACCAGGTATGAGGTGATTCGCGCGGCCCAACTGCACACACACTCTCTCTCTCTCTCTCGAAGACACGCCGCAGCATCCGCAGCGCAGGCGAGTCAGCTCACCGTTTCTAGCAGAGTTCGGTTCGGATCCCAGTGGTTGTACAGAGTCCTCGATGTTCTGCGGTGCCAAGAAACCACGGCAGCCCCGCGCCCCGCTTGCAATCCTGGCGTGGATGTTTTGTGTGGGAGATGCATGTATAGATGTTTAGGGTTGTGCATGTGACCTTTGTTTTCCTTTATTGGGGGAGACTGGACACAGAATAGGGCTTCATACATCCCTAAAGCTGCGAAGCTGTGTTTTGAGCTGTCTACCACACGGTCAGCCCACCTTCAAGAGCCTTCAAGCTTCTCCAAAGCCTTGGACGAGGGAAGTTGTGTCAGGATGCAGGTGACCGCAATCAGTTGGACGTACCACTAGGAAGCTGTGATGGCCGTGAAACACACCTTCTCCAAATCCATTGAACCAGCCGAGCGCTGGAGACTGTGAGCTCATTTGGTACCTGCAACTCTCGTTGCAGCAAACCAGACCGGGTGTTTCGCTTCAAGACAGGATGGCTCACTCAGGAAAAGAAGCTAGAAGATCCTTTCTATGACACATGCCTAGCTGACAAGTGCAATCCACACACACTATGAAGGATCTCCCCAAGAAAAATGGGTGTCTTCCATCGCCGATCCCGTCCTCCCGTCCCAGGCCGCTCGCCGGTGCCCACCTTGTCGCCCGCGGCCTTTCTGCAGCACGAGCGGCTCTTGACCGGGCTACTGATCTTCGTGCCCAACTCAGTGGCGGGTCCAGGTGGGGTGGAAAGCATTGAAAAGGAACTGCGAAAAGAGCATGGAGGAGACCATGTCCTCCGACCAATCCTCCCCGGTGGTATGTTTTTTTGTTCAATCTGCGAGCAGCCCCCCAGGCCCCCTAATTACGGAGGTTCGTGCGGCCTGGAAAGGGGCTTCTTTGCGGCTTCGTTGGTTCGGCCATCGGTTTCTCCGGCCAAGCAGTGCGGGGTTGCGAAGCGGAAGGAAGGTCATCACTCCAGAAGCGATGGGAGTGAATACTGCAACTTTTGTGTTCCAGACAAGATATCCAAATTGTCGGATTAGTAAAGACTCCCTAGAAGCTTAATACAAAAAATAGTTATATATATACATATGTATACTACAGTACACGTATACTACGATGTTTATGATCGTTGATGTTTTATATGTGCAACATGACCCATATGTGCGGGTGCTGGTAGAAGGTACTCAGGTGTACCCCCGGGTGATTGCAAAGGTCCGTGGAAGTGGTCGACACACGGCGTTTGCCGAGCCGAAAAACCAGCGAACCCATGACTCATGATGCTGCGGGGTAGGTACAAGCAATAATCCAGAAAGGACAGTTGCCACATGTAAGAATCATTGTTTTGCCAACCATTCAACGATTATCCACATGTCCAGCCAACTACTGAACTTGGGGCATCTACATCTACATGGCATCTACAGCAGTGGTTGGAAAACCCACTCAGCCGTTTGCCTCAGGAGCTGGTCGTGGAAATTGCCTATATCTCCTTGTTGTGTCATGCCTCAAGGCTGGTTTACCGGTGTTCTTTTTTGCCGATTGACCGGTGTTTGCCGCTTTCTTTGGTGAGTGTGAGATGGAAGGGCGTGAGGAATCAGAAGAAACTGCTCGCCTGGCGGATCAGGGCGATTGTGTCCAAGCATGTCAAACCTCTTGAGTATGTTTGAAGGCAAATTTGTGTCCTATGTCCTGCAGACAAGACATTTAATGTCTTGCCTCCGGACGATATCCCGTCAGGAAAACAGAGAATGCGCTGCAGAAGACGGTGGATCCCTCTTTGTATAGATGAAACAATATGGCATCCAGAAATAATCTATGCATTTCAGAGCCCGTCCAGTCCAATGCTGGTCAGACAATTCAGTTCAGGCGAGTTTTTGGAAGTTCGCATGTGGGAACCTTGCCAGCCTCAGCAAAAAGAAGTTGGCAAGTATGCGCGTCATAGCCTCTCGTCAGGCATTCCATTCACGAGGTGGCTCTAGCCTATGAGGCCCGGTCCCAGCAGGGATTGTTTCTTCCAGGCAAGAGCTTCTTGCCTTGCTAATGTGGGTGTGGTTCAAAAAGAGTCAAAAAGGTTGCAGAGATCTGCTGGTTTTAGGAACTTGTTCCTTCCAAACTGCCCTGCTTCGATGGCAGAGAGCCTGGGCTCTTTTTTCCGGGAGTTTCTCGGCGTGGCGGTGCTTTCCCACCGCACGGGCAATGGCAGGTGATCCCGCTGGAGTCCCTCTGGAGCTTGTCAGAGGGCCTAGACAACCGAGATCAGGTGTCTACGGCGAAGGGTTTGGCTGGAGGAAGAGTCTAAAGCTGACTGCCTTGTTTACAGCACTTCTGGTGTGAAGACAGCATGAGCACCTGTCTCCTGTGCAACTCCACATTGGCTTGGCTGGGTGGAGTAGGGAGAGAAGGTCACACGTTTGTGAACCCTCCAAAATCCGCTGACTTGTCGGGTTCAACAAGTCAACTGTCGACACTCAGCCGACATGGCAAAGTTGAAAGAAGATGGGCTCCTCGACTTTCACAGTTCGATGGGCTAACCGTAATTTGCTGTTCTTGATTCTTGATACTTGATGGATGTCTAGATTTCATCATTTTTGTCGTCCAACTTTTTTTGGGGATCACCCGGATGATACACGCCGACTCCATCTCCATCGACACGATATCGTGCCTCGGATCGTCCTACACACTTTTTCTGGAGCGAGGTTCTGGGTGCAGCTGGCTGTTCAGATGGGCTATTTGAAGCTCTACTTTTGCACCTTGGCCAGACAGTGTCCCTGGACGAACGAAGGATATGCTAGACGAACGAGTTGCGGATCCCCACTCCGCGGCCTGCAGGTGCTTTAGGGGATCAATCCTGCAGATGAATCGTGGTGGCTGAATCCATGCCCGCCTGACGTTTGCATCCGTGTGTCAGCTATCCGGAATAGCCCAGGATTCTGTAGAGGACTCCCAAAGGTAGTTCTGGCTAGTAACAAGAATGATGTCCACCAGTCGGCCGAGACTGTATCTTTCTTCCCATCGGGCGTGCGCCTCGATGTCGGGCTCACAGGGCGCGCCTGGCGGCGGAACCGCCGCCGCCGCCTTTCCCTTTTCAAGGGGGTGGGTTTTGGTCATCCCGAGTCATCCCCTTCAAATCCAACCTTCGCAATCCATAGATGTGGGCCAACCTGCTGCGTGGCTCCGAATTCGTTCCGACCTTCCTCGGAAAAGGCTGCCAGACTTGCACTTGTTTCTTCCACTTGCTGCGTACCACTGCAGCAAAAGATCTCCCTTGAGCCGCATGGGGGGCAGTTACAAACTTATCACCTTCCATTCCCACCAGGTGGCTATGGCCTAAAAGCTAAAAACACGCCACCTGGCCATTTTGACGGGTCCCTCTTCGGTCCTCTTGCGGTGACCGGAACCGTTCCAGGCCTTGTGATCGCGAACACCTCAACTAAGATGATGCTCACGGCTGCGGTCTGGTGATGTCTGGTGCGTGGTGTGACGTGAAGTGTTTCGGTGTCAACGCATGGACCGAAGTGCCGCAAGGCGTGGCCTTCTCCGCCGTCAGCAAGCACAAGCCACGGCTCTATGGCCCCTCAGAGCGGTCAGACCGGGCGCGACGTTTCACGGAAAGAGCTTCGCCTTGGGAGCGGGAGCGGACCCAACGAGTTCGGCGCGTTCGGCCACGGCGCGTGGAACGTGGTGTTGTGCGTTTTGGTTCAGGTGAATCAAAGGGGAGTCCATTTCTTGGTATTTCTTTGGAACCTGAGTCGAGGGCTGAGCTCAGATTGTGGATGTATATACAAGGATGGATTTTTGATATTTTTGGTCCATGCTGAACGGATGCAATGACTAGATCAAATGTAAGAAAGCACTTGGAGAGATGGGACCCAAGCCACCTTCAATTGTCAACTTAGTGGATTGAACAAAAAGACCTTTCTGGTTGCGTCGGCCTTTGTTGGGAATGGTGTGAACTGCTGGATGAGGCAACCAACGTGGAATACCTTTGTGACCAACTGCGCCCTCACACGTCCTCAGGATGGTTTTCCAACGTGGCATTGGGTGGAATTATCATCCAGGCTGGGATTGAAAAGACTATGAAAGAATTGAAGAAGTTGATAGTGGATGAGGGGCACTTTGGGCAATCGAATTACTACGTACATCTGGTTGCTACAGCAACAGACTGCGTTGGATTCAGGTTTGTAAGGTTTGCAACAGACTGCTGAATAGATTCCGATTTGAACCGCTTTGAATTCAGGTTTCGGACAGCCACTCAGTCGAGAAAAATGAACAACAGGATGTCTGGATTCGCAGGATGGACAAGTCAGAGTCTGTGCAAAAGGACGCACAGACACAGACACAGACGCACAGACACACACGCATGGGCGTCCACTGCAGGGAGTGGAGTAGGAAATTCGATGCAAATGAAAGTGTTGATCTTTGGAAAAAAACACCAGTCTCAGTCTATCTATTGCAGGAGGTCTTTATGAGACCCCTCCACACAGCTGTGTATTTGGGTTAAGGCAGTGTGGTTTTATCACATGCTGGTGGGCACTAGTGGCACTTGATTAAAAGCTAGCAACTTGGGGGGATGGTAAAATACTGAGTTGGACGGGTGACTGGGAAGTGTTCCTGCAATACCATGGTCTACACATCTGCTCACTAGCCATCCATGTTTAAAATCTGCACGATTGCTAAGATACTCTATTTAGCTACTTCACCGGTTCATTTGAGGTTTATTTGAGACAGTGTCCGTTCCTATAAATCACAACGGATACACCAGATAACAACGGTGAGCATTACATGGTCAACCGCGTCGTGTTGTTGTTGCGTTCGTTTCTTCCCCAGAGGCACTTGCAACACCAATGAACAAGTCGTGACAAAGCGCATGTGTTTGTTTGGCTTGTGAGGTGCTCTTCTCTTACATGAACAAGTCCAACATCTTTGTCTTCTCCCTCCGTCTATTTTGCTATGTCTACGCCAGGCTGGAGCTAGAGATGGTGCCGAGAGACAGCCCTCAGAAGTGACATGTAGATAAACATACATACAGGTTATCGATAAACAACATCACCCCCCGAAAGGGCCTGCTTAGCTCTTCGTTATTTGTCTCGCCATTTGGATTTATCACTGAAGGATAATGCTTTTGAAAGAGGTGTGTGAGCATTTTGCGTCGTGGATTTGCTCACGATTCACTGCCCAATCCACAGGGCTTCTACCTCGCACTGTGAGAGGGTGACAGTCTAACACCTCCAAGAAAGTTTACAGTATATAGTAGGTCAGTGTTTCCATGTCCGCCTCAAAATGGCACCCGTCATCAACAAAAAACATCTAAACTTTCAATCCTTTTGGTGTGTGCTAAAGTGAAGGGCCTGTGCTAAATCCGTTGGTACCGCTGCTGGGCTCGAACAGCCCATGTAGGGCAAGCTGCCCATGGCTAAGCCATGGGGCAGATCTTAAGTCCAATCCAGAAAAGGATGCTCAGCTGAAGCTGAGATAGCTGGGAAGCGGGTCCAGCTAGGACCCAGAAAAAAGGGACCCAAAGGACTCGGAAGAGGGGTTGGTGAGTTGCTAGCGCTCTAACATGGGTGAGGTGGGAAAAGGACTTCCCCCATCCTGAGTATACTGCGGGTAGGACATCAACCACCTCTATGTTGGTACATCAACCACCTCTGGCCAGATGTGAAGGTGCTTTGGTTTTTATGCTGCAATCAAGATTTCATTCCAATTCACACATTTTGTCGGACCGGACATCAGTTAACGGAACAGTCTAGTGTAGTCTTGGGTGTTGATCCCGGGGTCTTTTGTTTTGACCCACTCCCATTTCACAACGGATGATGCAGATGGCTGACTGGGTTGGATGAGGCCAACTAGAGCCTGAGGGTTTCTGGCAACAGAATCGCAGAAGGCATAAGAAGGCCAGGAGAACTAAACCTTCTGCGACTTGAGGGAATTTGTCTCAACTGTAAGCTTTTCCTTTCTTTTTGATTCTTTTTGCCCATCAGTTGTTTCACTATGTTTCACTCATCATCTGACAACTGAAAAGCTATCAACATCTGCATGCAACAGGGAGAGGATTTGGAGCTCACAGTTGGTGTAGAGTTCTACTTGTGACGTTTCCTGCTTTGCTCGGAGGCCCATGATCACTTGGGGACCCGTTTTAGGCCCCAGGCTCGGCCCATGAGGAACCTGACGCCTCCAAAAAGAGTTGGGGAAGAGAACCTATGATCAAGGTCAAACATATATTATATATATATATCTATAGTGGTGAGTTTGCTGCATAGGATATTTCAATTTCCCATTTTGCGTCTGCCAAAGAAAATCAATCACCCACACACAGTGCCAGGGTCGTGTGGTGGATGAAAACCAAGTTCCAGCAGCAGAGATACGCCAATCCCTGTAAATACTCGCAGTTTCTTTGTGTGGCAGGTGTAGGTGCTTTCAGCCTTAGTTGGTTTGCTACTGGCTTTGTACTCTCATCGGACCACTCAGATGAGGGAATGAAGATTTGAGAACTGCTGGGCTGCGGAAACAACTGTAGGGAAGCATGTGAATTGAGTGCCGTGTTTTGTTCGAGCTTTTCCATCAACCGGTACCTTCCATGTGGCACTAGGTCAATCCTGAAGTGAGCCTTACATACCACATGGTAAGGGCCCCATCCAGTGTTCTACCCGTCCATACCTCCTACCTACCTTAGACTTTGCAAGATCTGGTGTTTTCATGTGTTTCCCATTCGCTGACCCTCGGTTCAGGTGATAAAACTGATCATTGATTCGCCCATAGGATTTCTTGTCCAGCTTGGACCAAGTTGTACAAGACTTGCCAAGAAGCAGTATCTCAAGATGCTGCAAACATTCCCAAGAAACATGAGGTGTCTTTTTCTTTCTCAGCTGCGTCATCTGGGCTTTGTTACCGAAACATGTCCCATGCGGCTCCGTGGCGCCTTCGCGCCGCCTTCCGCCCCGAGGAAGAAGAAACTGCCAAGACTGACCGATGTCTGGCCCCTCGGAGCGTCGAAACGAAGCCGAAGCCGAAACGAGTCGGGCGTAGAACGACACCACGTCTGTCGGAACCGAGAAGGTTTGGACGAAGTTCGGGAAGAACTTCTGAAATTCATCAAACGGGAAGACATGAAGACATTTGAGAGAGTCTGAAAAAGAGGTTTGAAACTGACATCCTTTTTAAGGTTTTGAAAGACTTCCCAATGAGATGTCTTCCTTTCAGACTTGGAGGGGTCTGAAAGAGTCTGAAAAACGTTGGGGACTTTTCTCATCCGTTCTGCGTTTCGCCGTCCGATCCTCCGGGACGTGTTTTCCTCCGTAGGGGGCGGAATGAACGGTCCGATGGTTATACCATGCACCACCGGGTGCATGGGGACCCACCCATGTCAGGTCTCTTCGAAGCGGTTCCGGTTCCGGTTTGAGGAAAGGAACCCCCAGTGCAGCGGTCGGATCTTCCAGTGCAACATCCAGTGTGATTGATTCCCGGTTGATGGAAGTACTCAGCTCCTCCTCGAAGTACTCAGATCAAGCCAGCTCCATATTTTTGTTGCACTGCATCGAGCAGCATCCTGTGAGAGCTGGGTTTGGCGAGCATGATTTTCGCCCCCGCCAAACACCCACACGTCGCCAACACTGAAATACCCGCACGGCAGCCCCCGTCATTTCATTTAGCAGGTTGCCAGTGGCTCCAAAATTCTTCTGACACCTTCGCTCTGGAAGATTTGCATGGAACCTGAAAGCCATTGAAAACCACCAGTTTGTGGACGAAGCTAGTCTTCCAAAGGTCCATTTTCAGGTTTTCATGTTAATCTTCCCGGGTGTAGACGAGTTGATCAACTTCGGTTACAACAGGGGGTGGGTTGCTAGTAGGTGGCCATGAAGTTGGTGCATTCCACATTCCCTCTTTGCGGACTCCGATGCCGATCCCACGAGGCAAGGGGTGAGACGGTCAGTGAGTACAGGAATGAGCACATTCACTCGGGTCCTTCGACACTGGGCTGCAGAGGGGCCTTTGACTCGGAGGGGTGCATGAGATGCAGGGACATAGTCACGACATAGTCGCGACGAGTTTGCGGGGAAATGTGAACATGGATGAAACTGGAGTCAAGACTTGGGTTTCCCATTGCTTATCCTGATTGGTGGAATGATCATCCATGATGTCGATGTTGTGCATAAGTCAAAGTTGGACACATACATGTTTCGTTGGAGTTCTCTCGACTTGGCTTTGATTCCATGTGTAGGAGTGTACATCGGCTCTGAATCTTGCATGGTGACAGCTAGGTTTCGTTGCTAGATGTGACCGATTGTTGGGAGCGACTTGGATGAACAAACTTAAAGCTTGGCCAGGCAGATGTTTGTGACAGATCTCAAGTCTTCCCAGAAGGTTGACTATAGCAATGTTTCTCAGTCAACCGGCTCAGGCCGGCAAAACGCTCTCTCTGTGATCCCTGAATGTCGGGACGAGGAGGAGGAGGCGGGGACGGTTGTCGTCGACATTTGTGTTGACTGGGGTTCCCCGGTGGGCCAGAGGTCCAAAAGGGGCTGGTGAGGACAGACAAATTTATGTCTTCCATATATCGATATCCCGGGAAAGAACTATGATCCACTCACTATGGTCCACTGGAGAACATCGTAGAGCATATTCAGGTCGCTTTGTGACCGCCCGCACCGTTTGCGGCGAGAGAGAGAGAGAGAGAGCGCGCAGTCGGAAAGGTTTTTCATGTCCAAGGCAACACCCCAGATGATGCGGAACCGAATGAGCAGGACTCGTTCGATGTTTATTGTATACCTGGTTGTGTTGTAAGACGTTTAACCATATTGTTTATTAATGTTCACATCGCAAGAACCAACTTCCCCCTAGTGAGAAATCTGCGGCAAGAAATCGTTCGTCGAAAACAACACTGCTCGCAATAATAGACCTCAGACCTTGGGATCATGACAGCTTTTGATTGTTGTTTTTAAGTGATCGAAATTAAGAAGTAATTCAAGAACTGATTAATTCAATTTGGGAATAGGTTTATTAAACAAAGGAGAAGGTTCGGTCCACTATTGCAACAGTTCAAAAGGAAGTTCATCATTGTACAGGAGAAAGTTTGGTTTATGATTTACTAGACACGTAGGTTTTTTATTGTGGAGGAGCCGTTCATCTCTAGGTCTTATGTCGATCATGCATATTGCACAGTTTATTTATTGAAATCGTTCTATGTTTCCAACCCCTGGAAATTGTACTATGCCTGGAGGGGGGCAGCTTATATCCAACAATGCCGGCATTTTTTAGTTGAAACCGTGCATTTTTATCCAACTAATGCCTGTAAATTTTACTATATCACGCTTGTACCAGTACCCTGCACTCCCACATCATATGGCACACCAGTTCCAATCACATCTTGCAAAACCATACATTTTCCTTGTGTTTTTGCATGTTCTTTCCCACCACCAATTCCCTTTCCTTGCGGGAGATGCAATTCCATTCCCACACAAGAGGCTGGTTCTCCCCAGCTATATAAAGCCAGCGTAAATGCGTTCTGTGCATGCGTCCCAACACGAACCGCGCCCCTCACCGGTGCGGGCGGAGTGTTCCTTTCGCCTTCCGCGGTGGGTCCATCCAAAGTGGGGCCGAGGCGATGAGGGGCACCACGTGGTCAAAGAAGATCACCTTAAGTGAGGCGCAGGGCTCGCAGCTCCACACGCGATCCGCGTGCTGCACGAATTCTTTTTGGGGCTACGCAGCTTTTTCAGCAAGACTCATGGGTTCTTGAAACAGAGGCGAACAGTGAACAGCGAGTGTGTTGAAAATCTGGTCTGGGTCTTGTCACATTGGACAATCATCGGGATAATGTTGTTTCCAGGTAATTATCATCGTTTAAACTTCCGTGGGCTAGGACACGTACTCACCGTGGCCAATCTTAGATGTCATGGCGGACACTCATTTCTGGTCTTGGTGGCTTCAAGGAAAGCTTCTTGTTTTCGATGGAACAGTCCCAATTGATAATTCCCCAAGTTGCTACTGGCCTTGAGCTTGCCACTTCCTTTGCCTTGATCCATTTCCTTGCCTTGATCCGTGGCTTGTCTTCCTGCCAGGCTGGCAGGGGTACGACGATCTCGTCCCGAAACACACAAAACGAGGCGGTGATGACCGGACTGGGGACATTCGAAGAGTCTGCGAGCATGAGAGAATGCAGGATTCCTACTAGATGTGGGGGTGTAATTTAATAGGGAGACCCCCAACCAGTGGTTTTTATTAATTAGTCTATTTACCTCCTTCCAGAGGGCCTTTGGGAGGTCTCCCTATTTTAATACACAGACACACCCATGTCTTCCAGCGGTTGATGGGTCTTCATGAGGTCACTGCATGTCGGTCGCCAAGTGACCCTCCCTCCAACAATCCTTTTTGCACGAAGTGTAGGGCCGATGGTCGAACCGGAAGCCTACCTTTCAACGGAAAGTGGTCCCTGGAAGGACCAATTTCCTCCACAAACAGGTTCACTTCCATGGTTTGCTGGAGGTAGGCTAAGCATATTTCAGATTATTCACAAGAATTCAGGCCATCTTTAAGGCCCGAGTCCCGAGCAGGTCATGGACAGCCTGTGGCTTCCCACTCCCACTCCGCCTCTTGTGACAAGGCTGCCAGAGGTTCCACAGTCTCAGGGATGGAGACCGAGGCGCGCCCGTTTCGCCCTTTCCGTCCTTTCTGGTGGACACCGGCTTGGGAGGAAGGGACGGAAGCTTCACCAAGCGGTGAAGCAAAAGAACCGACGCCGTTTGGGAGCCTTTTCAGGCTGCAAGATGGGCGAAAAGGACGGGAGAATTCAGAGCAAGCATAACCCCCTTTGGATCTCCAAAGAACCAGGGCTTGGCACATCGTTTCTCATCATGGCGGGGTGTCTATGTGCACCTATGACAGTTCGGCCGCGAAGCTAGACGTTGCGAAGACCTCTTGGACGAGTCCTTTTTCCACCCTTACGAGTCCTGCAAGTGTTGCAACGCCTGGGCGATGCTTTTTCTGGAGTTCTCCTCACCGGCCGATTGGGTCGGTCTCCAGGCTGTCAGAGGGTCCACCAGAAGCAACATGGAGGCGATGGGTGCGACGATGGGAGTGAGCTGATGGTCGGTGGTTGAACTCCCCAGCCTTTGAAAAGCTGTGCGGAAGCCTAAGCTATGAATCAAGCTGACATAGTAATATTAGTTCCTATCACAGAATTTCGTTCTATGGTATATAGATGTATATAGCATATAGTCTAGTATCTATATCTATCTATATATATAGTATCAACAATTGTATATACTGTATATATATAAGAACCTGGGAGTTCAGAGTTCAGAGAACCCACTCTGAAGCCACGAATGGACGTTTGTGCGACAAGACCAGTGCGCGCTGCGCGCTGCATGGCTCACGAGGCTGGCCCAGCCACCGGGGACAAGACCCGTGCCTTCCGTGCCTGAGCGAAGTGGGACCTGCGAGATGGGATGGGTCTGAGATCGTCAGTGGGTCCCATCCAACGTTTTCTTCTGCTCGCAGACGTTGAATATAAACATGTGGGACACAAAAAGGTCTGGAGTCATCGTACTTGTTGTCTTCGCAACAGTGTTCGGCGCTGTCCCAGGATCTCTACATGCGCCTGGTGAAGCACATCCATTCGCCATCGCCGAGGAAGAAATTGAGCATTACGGAGCTGATGCTGGAGAAATAGTACTCGAGGGTGAAGAACCAGGATAGAACTGACCGTGGAAGAGGAATCTCCATGAGTTTTTTTTATGTTCCTGATGGTCAAGTTTCTGGTCCTTCACCATTGCACGAAAGCCCTCCGGTCAGTCCCGTTAGAATCTGCTCTCTGGAGGGCTTAGTTATTCAATATTTTGTGTTTTGCTCAGCTCGGCAGAGGTTTTTCACGGCTTTGTGATTTTAACTGTGAAAAGATGGGAGACTGGGGCATCCTTATCAAAACCACACCACCACACATCTCTTTGCATCTTGTTGACACATCCTCAGATGTTTCGTTCCCATCGTTCCAGTCGACTCGACGGCAGAGCCGGTGCTAGACGTGCGTTCGGGTGCCAAAAGAGAAGAGATGAGACGCTGCGAAGTGGGACAGGGGACCGGGGACCGCGGACCGGACGCCCAAAGGAACCAGGACGCCGGTGGCAGAGTTGGGACAGTTCAGTCGTTTGTAGGGTGGCTGCTTCAAGCAAAGGATCCTTGGGGGTTTTCTGAATTGAGCAGCACAAGGGATTAAACATGGAGTGCTCACCATTTTGCTGCGCTCCCACCAAGGTTTTTGGGGGTGTAATCTAACTAGCCACTTGTCAGAGCCAACTTTTGCAACTGACTTTTCTGCCGCTGTTCACTGTTCGCTCTTCGTTTGGAACTCCTCTCAACAATCGATGTATCCCAAGGTCTTTCTGTTGTGCAACTGGACTCCAAAGGTACAAGGAAAGCGACTTCATACATTCTGGAGAGTGTGGGGGACAAATCGCACAGGGAATTCAAAGAGCTGTCAATTGCCGTTCGTGATTTAGGGAAAGGACACTTCAGCATGATGCGTTGACAATTTGTTGTTTTATGCTACAGATCGGATATAGATATCGTAAATCCACATCAATTTGACCACCAAATCTTTCTCACAAGCGTCCCCATTGGGTGCTTTCTCTTTAGATTCGCAATGCCACATGCGTGTTAGTTCCCAGCTGAACTTTCCCCGTTTTGGGGGCACGCCCTTTAAATGCTCACGAACGTGTAGAGGTGCGACGGATAGAGCGCCAGATAGAGCGCATGTTTGAGCTGCCTGCTTGGAAGGGGATGTCGAGGCTTTTGTTTCTGAACCGAAGGAATCGCGCATCGCAACGATTTGGCTGGCTTGGAGGTTCTTGAGAAGCGTCCTCCTACAGATTGCATTACAACCGCATGAAATTCCTTTGGATGTTTAAATAACAATTCCCAATTGCGGAAAATATGAAATTTCAAACAATCATATATATATATATACACATAATATTATTACTATAAATATTACGATTATTATTGTTATTCTCATTACTATTATTACTTATTATATTACGATGAGGCCTACCAACAGGGACGCGCGCAATTCGGCTAATTTAAAAATCCTAAAAAACTGTTAAGATTTTGGGATTTTTAGCAAAGATATTTTTCTTTTTGGTGGCTTCATATTTGGTGCTCGGTTTTAGCGTTAGCGGAAAGGATCCGCAATAATTGGATTATTTTGGAGTTTTGAATTGTTGATTTCCCAAACAAACTGATTATTTTGTGATTATTTTCTCGGTGCCTATTTCGAATTTATTGGATTATGTTGGAATTATTGCTTTGCTTAACCCACTGCTGTATTACTAGGCAAAAACATGACGTTTGTTCGACTCCTCCCAGGTCGATGGAAACATGAGTATGTAGCTGGTGATTTTGAGGTATGACAACACTGTAGAGATTTATACGCAGGTCAATCCATAACAGATTCTACCAATCAATTACAAACATACACAATTATGTATTGATATCTAATGTCCACTTAGGTATTCGTATTTAATGTCTAATCCATAATTAAAATTTAAGTTTAATTAATTGTTTGTTTTAGTTTTTTAAGACCAGGTTTGCTATCCAATTTTGAGCTTGGGTGATGCTAGTAGCCGTTATGAATTTTACCTCAGGTTAGATTCTAATATTGCTCATATTTTAAGTTTGCTCACATGTTTGCCTAAATGTGCTTGTAGTTGTAGTTATTTTGTAATGTTATGTACTAATTTGTACTGAATTGCCTTTGTCAAAGAGACCAAGTTTTTCTGTCCACTGCCCACTACCTGGCGACTTGGCTGGGGCGATCGCTATGTGTAGAGAGCTCACTAGGAGGAAAAAGGCCGAAAACTGGAAGAGTTTTGGTAAGAACGGCAGTGGCGTAGTCTATATGGCCTCGACACCTTTGATGCTTGTGCTAAAGCCCCGAAAAGCCAATATGATCCGATATTTGCATGTTATTCGAGATGCGAGATTCGAGATCCGAGATCTGAGATTCGGGATTTGAGATCCGAGCCTCGGGAGTCGAGATCCGAATTACTAGATTCGAGATGTGAGATCCGAGATTCGAGAGTCGAGATACGAAATCCGAGATTCGAGGTGCGAGATTTTAACTTCGAGATCCGAGATCCCAGATTCGAAATGTGAGATGCTAGATTCGCGATCCGAGATGCGAGATTCGGGATTTGAGATCCGAGATTTGAGATTTGAGATGCGAAAGGCGAGATTCGAAAAATGAAAATCGAAATTAGGAATTTTAAAATAAGGAATTTAATTTTATTATACTTTTTACTTAATATGATTTTTTATCGTTGGCATTTTGAAGAATAATCGTTATTCGACGTATTGTCGTTTTATGAAATTGGAGACATGAGGATTCGAAGTAATGGTTTTTTTGAGAATGTGGAAAATGTGTTAAAGATTGTAATTGTCGATTAATTTATATCGATTATTTTAGAATCTTAGGTGTTGGTAAATTTTATGTTTTCTTGGTGGCATATGAATATTTGGAATTTTATTTACGTCGCGGATTCTTTTTGCGATTAGTGATCTCTCTAAAGGCTAAAAAAAACAAGATTCGTCGTGAACATTAGAAAAAGCTTTTGCAATCCGCATAAGAAGAAATGGTTAATAAGTACAAAATTCCTCCCAAGATGGATATTCGTGGTAACCTCTGAAGGAACGACTGCATAATAGCTCACAAAAGCCAAAAAATC